GTTCGGATCCTCTTCTCTCATCCCAGGACATCTCCTCTATGCCTTCCTAGCATTTAATCCTCCTGCCTCAGTCGCTCATCTGCAACACAGGAAACATCTGATCAGCTTGCTGACAAGACAGTCATAGAGTTGGAAGGCATTACAGGGGCAAGTTGTTCGTTGAGCTGCTATGTGGGTGGGAGACTTTAAATTCCTTAAGTACCTCATACTATTGTTATTTCTAAAATGTAAGTTCACCTCATATAAAAATATGATAGTACTTCCTGCTCTACTCAAATACAGGGTTAGTCACATACCCTGTGACTTCCTCCTGACATTCTAACTTGCCTGTCCTTTGTATCTGAAGTTGTTGCCATTGCTGGCGCAGGTGGCATTCTGCCCATCTGCCAGGAGGATTTGTGCTTCACCTGTTGAATGAGGGCTCAGAGGATACTGTCAGTGCCAGAGAAAGGCAGAGCTAAGCAGTCTGCTCTCAAGGGGCTCAACAAGTCTCTTGGCCCAACGCATTGCTAATGTTTCTATTTTGACTTCCACAGCACTCTGTGTGTTTTATTCTGCACTGACTGTATACCTCTAGTATATGCTGACTGGTACTGTAAGTGACTATGTGTTCTCTTACCAACTCAGTTAGGCTGTAAGCTTCTTGAGAACACGATGTTTTAAATGACTTAGCATCCCTTCTGTCTAATGAAAGGAAGAAAGGGAAGGAGAAAGGTCAGACAGGAAGGAAGAAAGGAAGGAAGAGGAGACAGGAAGGAATGAAGGAAGGATAATAGCAGCAAATATTTATAGAATGACTATATGCCAGGTAGTGTGTGCTTTCTTATGCAATCCTTCCAACCACTAAATGAGGTAGATACTATTATTAATTTTCCCTAGCTTACAGATGAGGAAACATGCTTCAAGGGGTTAGGTAATATGCCCAATGTAACAAGCCACAGCAACTAAACTGGAGAGTCAGCATCTGAATCAGGTTTAACTTTAGAGACCATGCTTCTGATCTCTGATGTTACAGTGTTGTTCAGAGTAGAGTCTCTTGAGCACAGATGAGCTGATAATAGGGAATGAGGATTTATTATAAAGAAAGGAAAGGAGAGAAGGGTAGAAAGCAAGGGAGAAAGAGGGAGAGATGCACCAATGCATTCTCCTCCCACAGATGTCACACCTAATGCATGACAGACAGTAGAGTTTCAGCTTAATTCCTGAACATTTCCAGAAAGGATCTGTTTGCTTCTTTGGTAATGTGTTCCAGCATTCATTCTCTGTGCACCAAAGATACCTACAAATAGCTCTTATACTCTTTCTGGTGAGAGAAGACACATACAGTCATCACAGTTCACAGCAGTTCTGCTCTATAAAGTTGCTGTGAACACTAAATTAGTGAACACTAAATCATTGCTCCAAGGGGAAATAGATTCCTGCAAGTCTCTGGCCACAATATTCTCATCAGCTGATCAATATATAACATTCTTTTATGTGGGCTACTGTTGAAAGACACCTTATTTAATACACATCACTGTTCATTAACATTGAACTTTCGACCAACAGCACTACATTGCGTACCTGGACAGAGCTAATGTAAACATGTGTTATCTTCATAAGGCACATCACAACCTTCTTGCACTTGGGAACACTACACAGCACTTCAGCACTATGCTTGGACCTCTCCGAACAACAAAATCACCATCAAAAAGCAATGCAAAAAAAAAAAAAAAAAAAAGGTGCTAAACAGACCCATGAAAGGGACATTTATTTGCACTATGAAAGCTAAAACAAGGTAGCAGAGCGTCGCCTTGCTCCATCTGAGTTAGGAACATGTCTTGGGCTACTCAAACTTTTTGGTGCTCTGAACATGTCCACAGGGAACCTGAAAGTGCTGCCAAAGGCCCTGCATTCTATTCTATTGGCCAGTTACAACAACTACATGACTCTGATGTGATGAATCCATTGTTTTTGTAACTTACTGTATGCTTTTGTAAATGTCTTTAACAATTTCGGAGTTACAAATAAATTTTAGTGAACAGGTGATGCCATAAATATGGTATCTTCAACTAATGAGGACTGAAGTTCAGCCAGCCTTAGATTTGGATATATTAGAAAGCCTGATATGTCTTCGATTTGAACATATTTGGAACTGTCTTCTTGTAGGAACACAGGAAATGAAGAGCAAGAGAGATCCGAAGTGTATGGTAATTTTAGCTGTGTATATTTGAATAGGACATTCCAAGCACATATTGGTCCTGCAAGTAACCTCTGAGGTTACTCCTCCTTTCCCCTGCTTTAGCTGAAATTTTATTTTAGTCATTAGAGATCATCAGCATCGCAGATTACAGAAAAGCCTGCCAAGTCTTCTGTCTTCACAAGTCCCAGAGCAGTTGTATAACCTTCTAGAGGCTGAATCTTGCTTGCACTATGCCTTTGCATATAGAAGAAACTCAATAAACACTTGCTGTTTATTGAATGAGATTCTCAGGGTCAATCTGCTATTTATGTTGTCTTGATCTCTACCTTTCCTTTGTAACATCCCCTCTTGTAAATAGTTCTGGTCAAGGTTGTGGTTCCCAGCTTGAGGTCCCTGGAATTAGTGATCCTTTAAGATGTTAAATACATTTCACTTGGATGATGTCGCACAGGTTAAGTCAAACACCAAAGTTTTGTTTTTGCAAGTTTGCCTGGAATTACACAATGATAATTCTATGTATTTTACGTGGTAATACTATGCATGAGAATGCACAGTGATAAGTGTGATACTATGTATAACCTGCTAATCAGAAGCTTCTCTCCAGACATACCTGTTTTTGATTTAGTAAAAAAGATTGCTCAAATAATTCCAATTGTTTACGTTCTCAAAACATTTCGGATGAAGAGAAGATGGTAACAAGAGGTTCTTGAATAGTTAAAGGATAAAAAACCACTAATTTAAAAGGTTCTGAAAACATGGTACTTTTTCCAAATAGGTGTTGTATTCTTTTTGTTTGACATTTATAATGATTTTTATACTTGTTAGTCCCATGGAGCATCAGTCCAACTTCACATAAATGGGAAAACTTAGTCAAGAAAAGCAGCCATTTTCATTTAGAAACTGAAAAACAGAAAATAATATAAGAAAGAAACTGAAAAATAGGCCTGAGGCTCTAGTCTCTAACTTTGGTGGGTTCTTTCTGCACATTTTCTGTGAAATCTCTCTTAGAGCTTCTAGAAAAGAAATGTTTCTGTGACTTCATCTTTCTTTGGCGAAACATGTTTTCTTCCTGTGAGAATTAGCCAGGATCCAACGGAAGTGACACAAATGATGGTGTGTATTGTGCCAATAAGAGATCTGCCAACTCCCAGGCAAGCTGCTTCTTCCCGCTGAAATTCCCTTTCATGCATGTCTTCCATTCTGGTCACACTGCCATGCTGAGAAACAGCTGGTGCCACACTTCTAGATCAATGGCTTTGCTTGTGTGGTGCTTTGAGAGCAGAAATGGGGGAAGGGAGGGAAAGAGCAGTACAGAACGGAGACCTCAGGTTCAGTGCCTTTGCCTGATTTCCAAGGCACACTTTTAAGGCCTTGAGGGCCATTTAGGAATATGTAACTGTTTACACAAATAGAAAACTTCTAACTCACAATCCTCACCAATGTCAGTGTTTGTGCTAATCTCACCATCTTCAGAGACTCTTGTGATCAGTTCCTCTCAACTTATTGGCCATTTACCACTGCCTCCATTCTATTTCTGCTGTCTGTACCTTACTCAGTCGTCCCTTGCTTTCTGCAGGAGACTGATTCCAGATCCCCTGCCAATCCCAAAATCCCTGGATGTTCAAGTCTTTTATATAAAATGGGGTAGTAGTTGCATATAACCTACACATATTCTCCCATATACTTAATTCATCCGTACATTACTTATGCCAAATACAATTCAAATGCCGTGTAAACAGATGTTATATTGTATTTTTAAAATGATTCTTATTGCTGTACTATTTTTTCTTTTTTTAGAATATTTTTGATCCACAGTTGGTTGAATCCGTGAATGCAGAACCCTTAGACACAAAGTGCCACTTGTACCTAGAATGCTGTATCAGCCTAAGGTATCTTCTTCACATCCTCCATGAAGTGCTTGAAACCACTCCCCTCCAAGAAGCACTTTAGAACACTCAGAAAAAGATCCTAATCTCATTATTCTTGGTCCAAATACAAAATTCCAGACTCCTCAATTACTGCAGCACTAAAATCCCCATGATTTAAGTGCATTAATTACGTATTTATTATTAGCCTGATGTGTTTTCATCAGTGGTAATGTAACACCATAAGCATGATTTTTCCAATTTTACTGCTTCTATAACACAGCTTCAAGTGAAAACGTGATGAATTTTCATTATCAATTTCAAATTGAAAAATTTGATAAATTTATCATGATTTTATAGGTGAAATAGCATGTTTACACAGCCCTCAGTTAAAGCCACAAGTTTATAAGTAATTCAGTAGAATAGCTTAGAGGCGACAAAGGAAGAGTTGGGCAGCAGCATTCAACAAACCTCCACGAATGAAGCTTTGCTCCTCCATTCTGCTACCTGGGCTGCACCCTTCAGGCTGTTGGCTGTACCTGTAGATTCGTTACATAATTCTGCAGAAAGATTCTCAATGCCTGTTTTCAGGTGCCTTTAATTGATCCAGTTCCAACTCGACCTGTCACTGTATAAACAAAAACAGCTTCTGACACTGACCTGCCACTCTCCTGGTTTCTCCCTCTGTCTTCCCTGCTTTGCATTAGAATCAGTCTCAGTGGTTAACAGTGGCACCTGAAAGACAATTTCTCCAAGATAACTGCATAGGCTCAAAGGGCAAACACCTGTCTTGTTGGCAGAATCGCCAGGCTCCTGGACAAATAATTTGCAGAGTTTTACTGTCCAATGGACATACTGCTGGAGTGGGTGTTCTTAGGGTTGTCTTTGCTGTTGTCACCTGGATACACCTTTTCCTTGAGTAGAAAATTAAGACATTCTGTTACAGGAAAGCATTCTGTTTGCCAACAGTTTATTACATTTAGGCATACTAATGAGGGCTTTTTGTTTCTTATCACCAAGACATGCCATCTTATGACCCAAATGCCCTCCATTTAGCCACGCAACTCGGAATTATGAAACTATTGCTTTCCTAAACACCTGTGTGCTTTTGTAAATGCCTTTAATGGAGTCACTACTCATAGCAAATATGTTATAGAGGGGACAAACACATGATACGCAGCATCTGAGAAAGGAGTACCATAAGGAAAAACAATGGAAAAGGAGGGGAAACAGAACAGGCAGAAGTGGGGACACATTTATTAGCAAAGAATTGCAAGAGGCAGAGGAATGGTTAAGCAAGCTGAGAACGCAGGGAGGACAGAAAAACAAAAATGATCTTCATTGTCTGATTGTCACAATGTTGATGAGCACTAAAATATTGCCAGGTGCTGAGACTAACTTGACATCAAGCTTGCAAAAAAGAACACTATTTTCACAGTCCATGAAATGTTATTAATATGTAAGTGCAAGGTCACAGAGGAGGATGAGAGAGGTAAAAAATCCGAAATGTTTTCTGACTCTAACTTGTACATCCTTAGAAACAGGAGATTAAAGGAGGGTTCTGAGACAGGAAAATTTAAAAGAAAAAGCACATTTGTCTCATACATTTGTGCTTCTATAAAAAGATTTTCACAGGAAATTTGTACTTGCAATGTATATTTCAGTGCTTTTAAATTTTGTTTTGGCAAATAAAGTAAAAGGAAGATTCATGTTTAATTAAGGTTCGCACTTGATATGAGTCAAGCCTTTTGAAAAAGTCAAATCTGTCCACGTAAATATAATCGTTTCCTTCAGCAAATGTCCATGTGTGATAAATAAAAAGTTTTAACTTACCAATATTCACAGGTAACACAGAGAAGAAAAAAAGAGAAATTCATAAAAAGACTTTAAGAATAAATGTTTGGCTGGGTGCAGCGGCTCATGACTTGTAATCCCAGCACTTTGGGAGGCTGAAGCCAGTGGATCACCTTGAGGTTGGGAGTTCAAGACCAGCCTGACGAACATGGAGAAACCCCATCTCAACTAAAAATACAAAATTAGCCAGGTGTGGTGGTGCATGCCTGTAATCCCTGCTGCTCAGAAGGCAGAGGCAGAATCACTTGAACCGGGGAGGCGGAGGTTGCAGTGAGCCAAGATGGTGCCATTGCACTCTAGCCTGGGCAGCAAGAGCAAAACTCCATCTCAGAAAAAAAAAAAATGTTTTAGTTAGTGGTTGATCACTAGTTTGTGCAGTATATAAATTTTTGGAATGGTTTAACAGATATATATCTTGATTTGTGGCTTGATTGTAGGTTCTCTTTCTGGAAATCTTTTGCTTGAAAGAATCCCAACACAGCACAAATTTCTGGAGAGTTAAGAATCATCTTCTGCCAGCATGTCAGTCTATAAGGGTTTAGTGCTTGGATGTCAGAGTGAGTGTTGATGATACTCGGAAGATCTGGGGAAGCATGTTACTAAGTTGATAAAACATTTCTTCAGAAATACTCTGTAAGAGGAAAAAATAATAATTGCACTTGTTACATCACGATTGATTTTAAAAATAATTTTAGAAGTTTTTTAAAATATGGACCTAGTCCTACATATGGAGTGCAATATGTGAAAATTATCTTGCATGACTGATGTAACTGCATGGCTATGGACAAGGGCTGTTTTTCTGGCTCCATCTTCAGAGAACTTATGTCGTTTCTGTCAAATATTAAGTTTGATGAGTAGAAAAACCTCTAGATAATACTGGTGTAAATCAGTAATAAAATACCACTGATTTTGCCAAGTTCTTCACAGAATACAAAATCAGTCTCCGCTAATGGCCTTATTGATGAACCCTTTGTAATCGATATAATACAAATGTGGAGAAAAACAAAGGAATGATGAGTCAAGTTTTGTCTGGGGGTTAAATAACACATCCCTTGAGCGGTAGATGCTGATACCTTTGACAACAGACTAAGTGCCTTTATAACATCCAAATACTTCTCCCCTTAAAAAACAGAAAGTGATTAGCATTTCATGTTGTATTTAGGATTTTAGGGCAGGATGCCTAGCTGTATCTGTGAGAAATCTAATAAAAGAGATTAAATTGGGGTGAGATCTACATAGATAACATACCTGTGGCACTAGAAATTGCACTGTCCTTGAAATTCCTCCATCCCATGAAGCCATTTCCATCATAAAACCTAAAATAGAAAAATAGATGTTGCTGTATTACAAGCTCTGGCCTTCAAACCTACCAGTCACTTACTGACGTAAACTGAATTTTCATTGTAAGGCTTCATGTCTTGACTTTTTAGGCAGCCATTTGCCTGTAGGATACGCTATGCCTAAAGGGCAGATTAATGTCTGCAATCCCTAATTCTTCACACCAGAGAGGTGTAACAGAGTTCTGTCAGCACGCCCTTATTTATGATTTCTCAAATCAAATTTAGTCTCCATACAATGAAGCTAAGACAGGTTATTAAAAGTTAATAAATATGTGGCTCTATTTTTTTTTTCTAAGAGAATAAAGGAAATAGAGAGCAAGCTGACAGCAGAACAAAATATAGTGTCCAAATATCCTTGTATTTCAAAGGGGCTGGATACTTATTTTGTGACTATAAAAATAAAAATAAAAAGGCCTATTATAAAATATTTGCTTGCTAAACTATCTAACTGAGGCACTAGATTGCAGGGGTATCTTTCACATTCTTTCTTCTGGGTCACTCTACTTTCAATATTTGGGAGGAAATATAGGTGGTGGTTGTCAGAGATAAGATTATGCTCACCTTTGACACACTTGAACACAAGTTCCGCTCTCCTTAAGCACCAGGGTATAGTCATTTCCTAAAAACAGAAATAAAACAAAAGATATGTTTTTAACAGAACTTCGTATAAAAAATAAAGTCAGATCTTTATTTATCTATAATGTTGACTATCCACGATGTTGTAAATGGATTTAGGTAACTATTTGCTAATCCCAACTGGATTTCCTCTAGTTTTTAGGCATGTAACTTCTTCCGGCTCTTAGACTATACTTGTGGAATACAAATTAATTTAATAAGCCCTACAAATATAATTTAAAAATAAACATATCCTTATTTTTTCTGGATAATTCTAAAGGCAAATATAAATGACATAGGAACTCTACTACTTGAAATGTTAGCATGAATAATTCTATTAAAATGTGTATTTGCATAAGCAATAACATATTTTTACTGTATGGTATGTTATTACAAATGAATGGAAATAAACAAATGCCCCATCTAAGCCACCTAACAAATGCATTCATTTTTCTGTGTTCCTTTCTAATCTTCATTCACCAAAACATTTATAATTTTCCGTAGTTTGACTGGAGTGTATGCCATTTTAAAATCTATTCCTCTTCACAAACATCAGGAATGTTTTTCCCTAAGTCTTCATAAGTATAACTATAAAACGTAGATTATTTCATTATTGTGATTCTCAAACTTTGTGGGTCTCAGGATCTTTCGTACTCTTAAATATTAGCCTGGTGCAATGGTGCACATTTGTAGTCCCAGCTATTTGGGAGGCTAATGAAGGAGGATTCCTTCTTTATGTAGATTTTTTATGTAGATTATATCTTTTGATAATTATTGCATTAGGGATTAAAACCAAGAAAACATTAATTTCATTTAAAAACAATGATAAACCCATTCATATTAACCTAAATAACATTTTTTATGAAAAATAACTATTTTCCAAAACAAAAAAGTTTTAGTATGAGTAATCATGTTTTAAATTTCTACAAATCTCATTAAAGCCTAGCCTAACAGAAGACATCTGGATTCTTATAGCTGTCTCTGCATTCAATCTATTATACTATCACACAGCATGTAGCTTCTGAAAAACTCACTGGACACTTGTGCAAGAATAATGGAAAAGACGAATGATGTCTTCCTTACCAACTACTCAGTCTTTCATCTTTTCTAAGCAGGCTTCCACCCCTATCACTCAACTGAAAATTCTTTATGTGAGATCATCAATGATTATTAATTACCAAACCTTTTCTCAGTCTTATTCTAATTGACCTTCCTGTTGTAATTCATATACTTAATGACCACTCCCTTTCTTTATGATATTTTCCCCCCTCTGCCCTGGGGATGATGTATCATCAAATTATTTCAGTTCTTCACCTATCTCTGATGGTCTTTGTGACCTCATGGCTAGCTACTGCTATGCTTCCTATCTAGAGTCCTGAATTCTAGTATTTCCCCTCTAAACCACTACTTTTGGCTATTTTAAGTACATTTCTGATTACATTATACTCCTGTTTTAAGAACTTAAAATTGCTTCCTACTGTCTCACACATAATATGTAAGCCTTTCTTTTACTATTTAAGGCTACATACTTTAAAGCCAAAGCTACTTTAAGTTTCTGTGGCTTTTAAATTTTTAAAAATGAAGGTTTCATTCAAGTATATCTGCTCACATTTGCCTAAACATGGTCTGCCATGCCTGTCACCCACCTCCCTCCATTTTTCCTCAATCTGTTTCTTCTACCTACAATGCCCTTCTCAGTAATTCCATCCATTGAACCTGATCTTCATTCTTCAATGTCCAGACAGTATCACCTATTACAGCATTTCCTATTTTTCCAGCTACAAATACACCTCCATTTTCTGAACTCCCAATGTACTTTACTGTTCTCTTATCTCAATGCTCACATTTTATCCTGTCGTTTTTGGGGAGGAGGCCAGAGGAATGGGCAGAAGGATGGGATTTATTCTTTTTCTTCTTTATTAAGTTACGTGCTCTCTGAAGGTAGAAGCCACTTTTTATTCACCTTTATTACCTTTATAATGCCTTCTATAATACTGAGCATATACGTGCATGAAAACATAGGTTGATTGAATTAGCTTTTATCCATGGACATTTAAAGAGTGTGACTTTCTTTGTAGCCAGAAATAGAGTTTAATAGAAAACTACTTTTAAATTGTGTCTGGTCTAGTTTTTTAGTTGGCTAAAAAGGAAAGAATTTTCTTGGGTTAGGTCCTGAGAGTTTCTAAAAATTCACTAGAATTTTCTGATATTCAACTAAGTTATGTTTATAACACTTTGGTTTCAAAGTTCACAGAAAGAAGAGGATTTCCTTGTAACTGCAAAGGCAACTATAAAAGAGCTACAGTGGTCTTATGGAGTACACACATGCATGGAGGGACAAGTGTTTGGTTTTTTGTCTTACTTTCTCCTAGTTAAAAGATTATGTATAGAGAGAACAAGGCGACTAAGAAATGTCTACTACAGCTACGGAGCAATGCTGATGGCTCTAAAAACTACAATAATAATGTCTTACGTTTACATGGAACTTTACAACATACATAATCTCACAGAAATAACCTTTATAAATTAAAAAAAAAAAAAAGACGCCACCAAAAAAAAAAAAAAATGATGCCCAGAGAAGTTCATGGAATTGCTCGAGGTCATGTGAAAGCCTGAGGCTTCAATTTTCATTTTCTCAACAGTATCTTTTGATGAGCTAAGGTTTTGAATTTTAGAATGTAATATTCTTCTTTTATGGCTTATGCTTTTGTGGTATAACAAATTTTAACCTGCTTAATCTGATGTCATCAGGATTTTCTTTTATGTTTTCCTCTAGAAGCTTTATAATATTAGTTCTTCTGCTTAGGTCATTAAACCATTTAAAATTAATTTTTATATATGATATAATATAAGGGTTAAGACTGTTTTTCTATATGATCCAATTGTTTCAACAACACTGAAAAGATTATCCTTTCTCCCACTGCATTGCCTTGGCATCTTTGCCGGAAACCAAATCACCATATATGTATGAATTTATATCTGGATGCTTTCTTCTGTTTTCTGATCCATAGTCCATTCTTTTGCCACTATCACATTGCATTGATTACTATAACTTTATAGCAAGTCTTGAAATTAGTTAGTGTAAGTTCTTTAACTTTGTTATTTTTCAAAATTGATTCGGCTGTTTCAGGTCCTGTGCATTTCCATATACATTTTAGAATTAGCTTGTCAAAATCTCAAAATTACCTTATAAGAATTCTGATCGGGATTTAAATCTATAGATCAATTTTAGGAGAACTATTATCCTGACAATATTGAGTCTTCCAATCCATGAAAATAGTATACATTTCCATTTATTTAGGTCTTTTAACATTTCTCTCAGCAATGTTTTGTAGTTGCTAGGTCACTTTACATAACATCTTTTTACTTGAAGGCATTTTAAGCTTGTCTTCAGTTCTTTAAACACAGCGTCAACTATTGTATGATCTGTGTTGTATAATACCAGTGCTTCAAGTCTTTGTGCATCTGTTTTCATGTTTAGTTGTTTCTGCTGACTCTCATTCATGGTATCTAATTTCATTAAGGACCTACTTATTCACTTACGTTAAACATTTTATTCAAGAACCATATGTAGGAATAAATACTATTGTATAACTAAGTATTTGCATCATCTTAAAATATTACTCTAACACCAATCATTTTTGAAATACTATGCTAGTAATCAGAATCAAGGAATTAGTACTATTTATACTGTTTTAATGAAACACTCATTTTTAAATACAAAAAAGCATTTTCTGACAGTAACTTGTCTTATAATCTAGAATTCACTGACATCTATGATTAGCCTTGAATTATTTCAGGCTAAGGTCAAATCTAAGTACTTGCTAGTCACATGAGGATGACTAATGTAAATTGTAAGCATAGAGCTTATTGAAGAGCTGGTTTTGAACACCAACAAACAGAATATATATTATTCCAATGCATTAAAATCAAAATACTAATGGTAATAATGAAAGATGGTAGCACAAGTTAAGGGATGGGGTTAAATGGTAGGTAGGGGAAAAGTAATCAAGTTCATTGTCCCACTTGTCCAAAGATCATCACCATTTTACTGATTAATACCCCGCTTTCTTGCTTTTTGTATATGTGTGCTTAACCACATGGTCTAGAGCAAATATTTGTGATACAAATTAAGAACTTCACACTTTTTGGAATGATGTGAATTAATGACAAAGTTTCATCAATGCTATTTAGAGAATATACCAAAATATCAATTTGTGGTAGAACCCCAGCACATCTTTGAAGTGATGGACACTGTTTAAAAAGAAATTTAAATCTCAGATGATATAAACTCTCATATTCAGTATACTTTAACTTAATGCCACTTAGCAGCATATTACTCTAAGAGGAAACTAGACAGCTACCTGTATGTGCATGTGCATGCTCACACACACACACACACACACACACACACACACACACACGCCTGAGTTGTTTTCAAATCTTCCATGTGCCTCCATAGAGATTCCATCATAAGCTTAAGAGAGATACTTGCAAGGTTTTTTTAATCCTGTCATTTTGTCTCTGATTAAAACCAGCACCTAAAAAGAATGGCTTTGGGTGCTTAGAAAAGGTAAACTGTAAGCTTTAGAAGTCAATAAAGTCATGAGAAGAACAACTTATTGAATGTCATGAGTTGTGGTCAGCAGTTTCACAAGGAGCTTACTTCTGGAAACAAATCTTAGTATATATGATATAGTAGATGATATAGACAACATTATGCTGTCTCTACATAGACAGCATAGAAAGTTTTTGATCACGAATTCTAAATAATGGAAAACTGACTACATCTTAGTGACATGCCTGTGAGAGTGCACTGTTAGAGAAATCCAGTGAAGCTGAAAGGAGGATGTAAAACACTAGACTTTATAACAAGCAAAAAATTGGGCCCTAGTCCAGGTATAGTGGCTCACGCCTGTAATCCTAGCACTTTGGGAAGCCAAGACAGGCAGATCACAGGGTCAGGAGTTCGAGACCAGTCTGGCCAACATGGTGAAACCCCATCTCCACTAAAAACACAAAAATTAGCTGAACATGGTAGCAGGTACCTATAATCCCAGCTATTTGGGAGGCTGAGGCAGGACAATTGCTTGAACCCGGGAGGCAGAAGTGGCAGTGAACTGAGATCGCATCACTGCACTCCAGCCTAGGTGACAGAGCAAGACTCTGTCTCAAGAAAAAAAAAAAAATTGGACCCTACTGTCACACTTTAGATGATAAGTGTACAGAAGAGATTCTAAACCTATGAAAATGAAATTAAAATATCCATTCTGACTATAATTGAGATAATACCTTCTATCTAAAGCTAACTGTTACTCAACATGAATCCTCTCATTAGGGTAAGGTTGAACTGCAGTTACTCAGTATGTACTTTTAAGTCTTCACTGTTTGTCTTGGAATTTAGACACAAGAATTATTATCTGAGTTCATGTACCAATGGGGAATATTCCAAGATTATTCTTTACTTCTCAAGTACATGCCTCTGAGGTACCTGAAACACTGTGCTAATAAGTTTCACAGCTATTATCAAAAGAGGAGAAATAGTTTGGCTTTATTTCTTATTTTTCACATTCAGTATAACAGCACAGGTACCACCACTTTGAAAACCTATTTGGCATATCTACCAAAGCTAAACGTAAATGTACCCTGAGACCTAAGCATTCTATCCCTAAGTATATTCTCAAAAGAAATGTCAAAAGGTGTCAACTGGAATGTTCATAGTAATACTACTCATAATAATAAAAATCTGGAAAAATTACCCAAGTGTCCATAAATAGAACGTATAAATAACTAGTCACATGATGAAATAATATATAACAGTAACAATGAACAATCTATAACCATGCACAATATTACGGATAGATCTCACAACATACTATTGAAGGAAAGAAGACAGATATAAGATTAAGAGCAAAAGCAAGCCCAACGAATCCATAATTTTTGAGATAAAAACAGTGGTTACCCTTGAGGAGGGAGTGTGGTTTAAAGTTGAAAGGGAGGTGGCTGCTGGGGTGCTGGTCATGTTCTGCTTCATGATCTGCACATTTGTTATATGGGTGTTCAGTCTACAAAGATTTGAGCTGTATACCTATGCGTACTTTTCTATACGTATGTTATACTCCAATATAAAAGTTAAAAACAAACATCTGTATGTGTGCTATACTCCAATATAAAAGTGAAAAACAACAAAATCCTCATTAGTAACAACAGTTACAAAACTAAATAATTTGGTAAGCCCAAATTATTCAACAAGTTAACAGAAATAATAAAAGGAAGTTGAGAATTCAGTATTCTTGGCTTGTAGCTTCATTCCACAAGACGGACTCCAATAAGACAGTATCTTCAGAGCACAAAGATCTATTGAAATAAAACTGTTACGCCTTTCTTCTTGCTGATAGGTTATTTTTCCTTTTTTCTTTTTAAACTGCAATTAATTTCGATAGCCCTTTTATCTATCACAGGACATGGGCTGTTTCAGTCATCTTCATTATCATCTTGCACACACTAAAACATGGTTAACTGAGTGTCTAACGACTCTGTTATAAGAGGAAAAGGACACCTGAAATGCTTTGGAATCCTTGCCCCAAAGCTAAAACCAATATTTACCTCTATATCCTGTGTAGTGTTATCTGAGTTTAGAAACTTCTTGACCTGAATGGATGTTTAAATACAACAAATGGGAGAATCATAGCTCAAGATACTTTTGTGAATTAAACTGGACACTTGGGAAACAAACTTAATGTTCTGCAGCTGGCCTTCCCAATTTAAAACATGTAACTTTTGTAACATTGTGGGAGAAGGAAAGCTAGTAGTATCAGATGTCTGGAAGTAAATCTGAACTTAGTGACTTTTGGAAACACTGTTTTTGAGGTCGTTTCCCACCTACATATAACCATTTTTATAAAGTGGTTAACCAGGAGTCCAGCTGCAGGAATGTTTGGATGAATTCCTTGTGGTGGGAATTCATCATAAACTTTGTTACTCCCCAAAGACCCTTTTATAGATAGACTAGTTAGTGATGATGACTTAACAATAGCTAAAAATTCCTGATGGAGCTAAAACTTTATAAAGCTATAGTGGGGGAAAAAAATATTTATCCATCTCTCTTGATACCATATTAGGATGACTGAGGCTACAGAAGTGAATAGAATGAGAAATTAGAAAGTCTGATGAAGCTTTCATAGGATAATGCTGGAATTCTCCTAATCAAAACAACCAAGAACCTAGTAAAAATATATCAGCATAGATTATAAGTGGGAAATCATTTAAAATCACCCTGTCTCAGAAGGAAAGGAATTATTTTTTTGTGTTTATAAAGCAGCAGTCCCCAACCTTTTTGACACCAGAAACCAGATTTGTGGAAGACAATTTTTCCACAGACTGTGGGGGTGGGGGTGAGGGTGGGGATAGTAGGGATGGTTTCAAGATGATACTGTTCCACCTCAGATCACCAGGCATTACATTCTCATAAGGAGCACACACCTTAGATCCCTTGCATGCGTAGTTCACAATAGGGTTCGTGCTCCTATGAGAATCCAATGTGGCTGCTGATCTGTCAGGAGGCAGAGCTCAGGTGGTAATGCTCATCCTTCAACCCTCACCTCCTGCTGTGGGGCAGGTCCTTGGCCTAGTGCTTTGGGACCCCTGTTATACAGGATATGAAATTTAAAATGAGGCCTCCTGCAATATAATGAGTCTAAGTGAGAACTTAGTCTAAAAAGTAAAACATAAACTCTTTTACACTGTCCTTTAAAATACAGCATTTTTCTTTTGGTAAATAACTGTTTATAATCAATAATCAAACTTCCTTCCTGACATTCACAATCTCCACTTCCCAGTTAGCAATTTTTTAAAGAAACACAGTTTCACTGTGTTGCTCAGGTTGGTCTTGAACTCTGGGCTAAAACAATCTTCCTGCCTCAGTCCTTGGAATAGCTGGGACTACAGGTGTCAATTTTGCTTTTTAAAAAAATGCCTCCTCAAAATAAGCAGGCACAGAGTTGCTATGAGTCCTTCATCACCAAGTTAAGCACTGGCTCTCCTAGGACTTGTCTGGACCCGTTTGATTTGAGACACATTTGTTTCTCCAGACTATGTGAAATTGAATTCTAGTCTTTATATTATTTCTACAATGTATGCCTTCTAACCAGTTTCTATGTGGGTGAAGGAAGAAGAAAACCAGTCATGGAAAGAGACTGTTAAAAATTAAATTATAATACATAACAAAATGGATGAATGATTATGCTGTATCTTAATTGCAGAACTGTATTATCTAAAAAGAATCCTTGAGAAAATGTTAAACCAAGGATGGCTTCTTCCAGTTATCTAGCATATCTTTCCATTACCTATTAATAGATACTTAGAAAATGCAAACTAATTTTCATGGCAGCCTAAGCCAAATACATACATGTATGTAAATCTAATGCTACTTATAGGAAAAAAGAAGAAGGAGGGGGAAGAGGAGAGGGAAGACAGGGAAGAGGAGGAGAAAGAGGTGTAGGGACACATGCCTTATCCAAAACTAAATATTATTTTGATTTTCTAGTTTACTTACTACAGGACAATGCTATAGCTCTCTGAACATATATGGTTAAGGATTATTCACTGTTTTGTATTATAGTTTACTCAATTCTATTAACCATACAGGAGATGCAAAAATTCATTAGTTTAAAAAAAGTGCCTTTAAAATGGATTATTATATAATATTAAGGGTTAACATATTCATAAAATTATAGGATTTTTCTATTTGCTTACCTCTGACATATCATGTACCAGCAAGAGAGGAATGCTTATTGTTGTGATGTCATGGGTACAGCAAACTTTGAGTATATTTCGGAGTCCCATAATGGCAGGATCACGAGCAGTGATGTTTCCCGATTTCACGTGGTCATCCACACAAAGATGGAAAGCAACGTGGATTTCTGAGAGATTAGAATGCCGTGTAATATAAAATTCTCCTGTGAACAATAAATACAATCATGATTATCAAAGGCCTAAGTCACATTCATCAATGGGCTTTATTAATAACTGTGATGGGTAATCAATGTGTTGAACTACTGGGGTATATCGCAAACATTTACCAGGCTCAGGAAGCAACTGTGATTACTGCTCCTTAATTTCTTGAAGAGAAGCTAATGAAAATAAGAGACAATAGTCAATTTTGCAATAGGTTCATAAATTGGTATGAAGTGACCACCAAGTAGTAAATAAATCAAATGAGAACTCATCTTTATTTTCATGTATATACCTAAAATGTCCTTTTGTATTTATATATTTTTTGAGATGGAGTCTCGCTCTGTTGCCAGGCTGGAGTGCAGTGGTGTGATCTCAGCTCACTGCAACCTTCAACTCCCTGGTTCAAGTGATTCTCCTGCCTCAGCCTCCCAAGTAGCTGGGATTACAGGTGTTTGCCACCACCATGCCCGGTCAATTTTTGTATTTTTAGTAGCGGCGGGGTTTCACCATGTTGGCCAGGATCGTCTCCATCTCCTGACCTCATAATTCACCCTGCTCAGCCTCCCAAAGTGCTGGGATTACAGATGTGAACCACCACGCCTGGCCTAAAATGTCGAATTTAACATGTAAAAAAGATTACTTGTTTTTTCCATGCCCTAAATCTGCTCTTCCTCCTCTCTACTTGTAAGACCAACCTGTTCAGTTAGTTGCTAGGACAGAAAGATAGGTGTCCTTAATTCCTTTGCTTTCCCTCAATGCCTATCACCCCATCCACAATCCAATCTACCACCAACTATTTTCGGTTCTAACTACAGAATCGCCCAAATCTGAGTATTCCTTTATTGGTGTTAACCCAGTTCACGCTACTGTAATTTTTCACCTGGGTTTTTGTAATATTCTCTTAACTGATCTCCTTACTCCCTGCTTGCCCACCTACAAACCAATTCTTCATGCAGCTACGACTTAAATATAAATCATACTATATTCCTCCCCTACTTAAAATCATCCAACAGGCTCATACTGTAGTATTCAGAAAAAAATCCAAACTCTCTATCATGGTTTAGAACAAGGGTCCCCCATGGACTGGTACCGGGCCATCACCTGTTAAGAATCGGGCTGCATAGCAGGAGGTGAGCAGCCAGCAAGTGAGTGAAGCTTCATCTGTATTTACAGCCGCTCCTCACTGCTTGCATTACCACCTGAGTTCCACCTCCTTTCAGATCAGTGGCGGCATTTGATTCTCACAGGAGCATGAACCCTATTGTGAACTGTGCATGTGAGGGATTTAGGTTGCATGCTCCTTATGAGACCTTAATCCCTGATGATCTGTCACTATCTCCCATCAACCCCAGATGGGACCATCCAGTTGCAGAAAAACAGGCTCAGGGCTCCGACTAATTTGATATTATGGTGACTTGTGTAATTATTTCATTATACCTTACAATGTAATAATAACAGAAATAAAGTATCACAATAAATTTAATGTACCTGGATTATCCTCAAACCTTCCCAACCCATGGTCTGTGGTAAAACTGTCTTCCAAGAAACTGGTCTCTGGCGCTGGTGCCCAAAAGTTTGGGGACCACTGGTCTAGAAGGCCTAGATGACTTGAACCCTGCCTCTCTCTCCAGTATCTTCTTGTCTCATTCTCTTTCCTCACTCCAGTTACACAGGCTTTTGTTCAGTTCTTCAAGCATGCAGAGCTTGTTCCCAAGTCAGGGCTGCTGCCTGGAGGGCTTTTCTCCAAGATTCTCAGATGGCTGACTTCCTTTCATCAATCACATCTCAGATCAAAAGTCACCTCCTCAGAAAGGTCTTCCTTGACTTCTTATCTACTAATGGTCTCCTCCACCCTTTACTCTTTCACCTTATTCGGTTTTATTCTTTTCTTAGCACTTTTGTGTACATACTATTTTAAAGAGCCCACTGTGTATGTGACATGATTACAGAGATTTTAACTAACTTGCTAAATATTCTATCTCTAGCAAGTGGAACAGCACCTGGCATGTGGAAGGTACTCAATAAATATTTGTTGAATGAATAAGTATTTTAGGCTGAACGCTGGAGCAGTCTATCTCAAACATTGAAGTAAAATCCATGCTTCCTACCATCACTCTTTTTTTTTACGTAGCCCCACAAACTAAGAAAAATCTCATCAGCTTTTATTTTCTGTAGTTCCTATCAATATAGAGAAACAAAACAGAAAACATAGAAAGGATATGTTCTTACCAATACATATACCTCACTGGAAATTCTGATAGGCCTTCTGGGAAAGGTCTGCCTATCTCTACTCTCCCACTCTTAACCTTTGCCCTCCCAAATTCCACTCCCCCTTGTGTCAACATCATTATCTTAGGATCTAATTATAAACATACAGTATACTTAAAATACTTAATATACTTTAGCCCCATGGTTAACATTTCTAGTTAGTAGTGTGTATCAGCTGTATCCTCAGATGCCTCTGACAGGTCCCAGGCAAAGATCTTTTTATTTTTTATTTTAACTTGAACAAGATAAAGGAATTAGATAAACAGAGAAGGAAATTAAAGGACAGCAACAGATACATCACAATAAACTGGACAAAGTGAAAGTAAGAAAGAAAACTGGTGAGGAATAGTTTAGTTATAATTTTCCAGGAAGGCAGCAAAAGACAGACTGCTCATCAGAAACTCGGTGGACTATATGAGACAATATCCTTCTGGGCCCAGTGAAGTGTATTACCTTCTAAACTCCTACTGATAATTCAGATGATGGAAGTCATAGCTTTAGATATGGGCCATGATCCAGGAGTGTGGCAGAATGACTTGGTGAACAAGTCAGGTGCTCCTAATCCCCAAATTGGCACTGCTTTCTTTGACCTTAAATGACTTGTTTCTTGGCCTGATTTTACCCATTAATAAAATGGGGTCATGGGGCTGGCAGTAGTAATCAAATTAATATGATATAGTAGAAAAAGGACTAGATTGGATGTTAAGAAGATCTGATTTCTAGCACTTACTGACTGAGTGATCTTAGGCAAATCAATTCAACTTATTGATCCTCTGTTACTTAGTGTATGAGATGGGAAAAATAATGCTGACTGCTTTCCTTACAAGGTTATTATGAGAATTGGATTACACAAACTGTAAATACTTAAATCATGGTTAAGTCAACTATGACTGGCTTACAAATATATAAATAAAACTATTTTTCTTTGTAATTTAAAAGTTACATTAATTTTTGATTTAGATATTTTTTCATCTCCTGTAAACATCCTGGTTGTGTAGGTATACTTTAATTAAATGGAAATTAAGATGCTATTATCTCTAACTGAATACTTTATATTACTTTTCTAACTCAGACTTATGATATATCCTTCTGATTTGGTACTAATACAGAGAAAAAGTATACAAATAAGACAGTCCATGTTATGTTCTGTGATACAAACATTATTAAGGGTCAGCAGAGTGAATTACATCAGAAAGAGGATTGAGAGACTGAATTTCCAGTTGTTAAAAAAACCTATAGGCTTTTTCCAAAAAAAACTAGGGAAGGAAATACAAATACCAACAAAGAGTTATGTTTAAAAATCAAACAGACATTGGTTCTTCCAGAGTAGTAATAAGACTGACACATTTTTAGAAAGACACAAAATATGAATGGTTTAAATTATGGATCTATGAAGAAAAATACAATAAATACTTCATTGAATGTATTTTTAGATGAAGAGGAAGATGGTTTCCTATTCCACACAGTGGAGGAAACAACACGTGGTGATTCTAACATTACTCACTAAGGTAAAATAACTGAAGGTGGGAGGAAATTTCAAGGCTGATGACCACAGGCTAATGGACAGGGCCTGACAAGATGAATACCAGATATGAGTATAGTATTTGCTTAGATTAAATGTAATGTGTTGAGTGACACACGTGTGTGTGTGTGTATCTCCACTGTCAAATGTGACCTACATGTCAAAGATCTGGGGGAGAAAATTACCTTAAAGGAGAAAAAAAACTATCAAGAGATGGTTATTTCTGAAACTGTAAAATTTATCACTTAGTTAAAAAATTTTATAATATATACAAATAGTCCTTGTTATGCTCCATGATACAAACACTAAGGGTCATCAGAGTGAATTCAATCAGAAGATTGAGAAACTGAATTTCCAGTTGTTAAGCAACATATCTAGAATAATAAAGGAAATAAAATGGAAAGCAGAAAAATGTAAGGGGAAATGAAAATAAAATTCTAAATGAGATGACCCACTTCCTTTATATTTAAATTCAACTGTTTATATCTCCATGTACTATTATTCATATTTTACTTGATCTTAGCTATATGGCTGAGAAGTATCTAGTTTATATTTCAGAGTAAAACATTTTTTTGGTTTATTTCTTAAGAAACTAAGAAATAATGTATAAGAGAAAATTTACAATAGCAAATAATAAAACAGGTAACTTTTTGAGCAATTTTTCTTTTATAGATCTAGAAAAAAAGTTAATACTAGTATAATATTAATAATTAAGTTTTAGGCCAGGCCCAGTGGTTCATGCCTGTAATCCCAGCACTTTGGGAAGCTGAGGCAGGAGGATCACTTGAGGTCAGGAGTTCAAGACCACTCTAGCCAACATGGTAAAACATCGTTTCTACTAAAAACACAAAAAAATTAATTGGGTATAGTGGCACAGGCCTGTAGTCCCAGCTACTCAGGAGGCTGAGGCAGGAGAATTGCCTGAACGTGGGTGGCAGAGGTTGCAGTGAGCTGAGATTGCGCCAATGTGCTCCAGAGCCTGGGCGACAGAGCAAGACTGTCTCAAAAAAACAAACAAACAAAAAATTAAGTTTTACACTGATGAACATCTGTGAAAGTGTATTATAGAGGTACAAAGTGTTGTTTTAAAGTGATTTAATGATGTGCTAAAATTAAAGATTTAAAACATAAATTCCTATGGTGTGCATTATAAAATGTTTTTTGGTGTAAGAAAATAATAATTTGAAATAAAAAAACATACTTACCAGGTAAAACATTTAAATAGTTCCTCTCAGCATTCTTAGTCTTATCGTCATTTCCTCCATTTTGGTTTCCAGAATCTATTCACAAGACAATGCAGTATGAAAGAACGTAACAACATACGAGAACATGTTACTATGACTGCTCCCAAAAGAATCACAGCAACAGCAAAAACTCTCTGAGGGCATCTATGTGCCAAGCATTCTGCTACATGCTTTACATGGATGAGCTCATTTAATTCTTACAAAACCTCTATAACCACAGCCCTGGGAGGTAAGTCCTACTACTACGTCCATTTTATGTATGAGGAGACAGAGGCTTGGCTAGGCTGACTAACTTAACAAAGCATGCACAGATAAGTGGTGGAGCCAGGTCTTGAATTCACATACTCAGATTCTCCTATGGTATTAACCACATGAGATGTGCCAGTATCTATTTTTCATCTGGGAGGTTCAGGGAACCAAGTTAATCACACATAAAATACCTTCATTAGGTAGCTGTGGTGTGGCCATCTTTATTTTTAGATTCTGAGTCACTGTTGTTGATACAACTTGTTCAGGACTACAGATACATGGCTAGTGGCATCAGGAATCACCGTATATTTAGCCCATTCCTGAAATTTATTTCCTACCTGACACTATGCACAATTATAACAGACAGGTGAAACTGTCTCACATGGAACTTTTTTCCAGCTATTTGACAGTTTCTCTTCTTTTTTGAAGGCATGCTATTTCTTAGAAGAATAAATCTTGGTAAAATAAGAAACATTATGTTGAACATACATTATAAAGATTGAATGCAAATTATTTTATATGTTTTAATAAAAGAGACATCTGAACTTTACAAGAATTGCATCAGACTCACAAATGCAAACTGAATATTAGCCTTCAAAGTAGCTATCTTTAAGAGGTTGCATATTTATTCCAATTAAAAACTATTTTGGAATCTATTTTGGAATGTCCTTCAGCATCAGAAAAATCACATGACAACAGACCTTCAAATGAATAAACTGCAAACATCAACATATTATAGTTTAAGAGAGATTTGAATAAAAGTAACAATATTTTTATCTAACGACTACTTTGATAAATTGATTTATAACATTGTATGTTGTAAATGCACATATGTTATAAATCAAGAGTCAGAGAGATAGGCACAGAGAGATACAAGGCTCTGTGTTGCTAGAATCTATATTTAATGAAGTACTCTTTCTAATTCAGAGCCATGTGGTTGATAGGCTTTGAATAAATAGCTAATCATAGCACAGATTACAAGAAACAATAAAGGACTCTAATCTTGTTCACATGGAGTATGAACAAATGGAAGCTCTGTTAAGTAAACAAGAGAGAACAGTTCATAGTCCATTTCCCTTTCATGTTTTCATGGCAATACCTTGTTTAGTAACAATAAGAAGATGGCTAGTTTTATTTTTTAAAAAGTATATAAAATGTGTATAAAAACAAATTTTGACTTTTTATCATGGACCACAGAAATATAAAGATGTTAATATAACAACTGTAATAAGAAAAGGAATGCAACGTCTTAGAATAAACAAGTCCTTGCAAATCAGGATGTAGACTTGCAGAATATGTAGGCGTGCACAGAAAAAGATGGAGAAGGTATTTTCACAAAGTTCTTCTATAACAACATGCAGCTTTCTTTAAGAAAGTCTTTTATAAACCTACTTGTATCACTGACTCACTGAAACCACAAAGTAGTTGCTTGAACAAGAACAAAATAAAACCATGATATACACGCAATGCTTTAGCCATATGTGGTTTAACAACTTCCCGTCATTTACTGCACACTTTCTCTCTCTCATAAATATACTTAGAATCCTCCTCCTCCTTCCACACCTGTCATAATCTCAATCTTCATGCTTTTACTCACTACTAAGAATAATGTTGAAATGTTTCTGATCACATCACTGCTAGTTTCAATGAGAAGGAAGCTGGTAGAAGAGTAAGAGGGTATACTGAGATTTTCTGAAAGGTTATGTTAGGATATACTTCTACAGTGATTGTCTAATACTTAGCTGGCTCTGTTACATGTAACACATATTGCCATAGCAAAGCCGTAACTACCTTTAGTGGGAATATAAACTGGCAGAAATGCTATACAGAGTAATTGCCAAGGCTATGAAATGTATAAATGTGTGTGTCCTTTAACCCAGGAATTTATCTTTAGGAATCTCTTCTGTAGATATGCTTACTGCTCACACACATGCACAATTATTCATATGCAAAGTTATTTATCATTACTAGACATTATTGCTTATAATAACAAAAATAAGGAATAGATCGAATGTCTATTAGTAGGGGACTGATTAATAACAGGATATCCTGCAACGGACTACTATGAAACAGCATAAAAGTATGAGGACGGTCTTTATGGACTGATATAAAATGATCTCCAAGATAAATTACTCAGTGAAAAAGGCGAAGTACAGAATAGTGTATGCAGAAAGCTGCCATTTGTGTGAAAAAGGAAAATAAATACACACATACACTTGCTTATACATACATAAACATCTGTCTAGGAGGTACATGTGATAGCACCAGCTGCCTCTGAAGAGGGAAACTGGATGGCTAGAAAAAGAGTTAGAGACACTTTCACTGTATGCTCTTTTGTAGTTTGAATTGTGAATCTTGAGAATGTTTTATCTGTTTAAAAAATGGTTAAAAACATATAAACCATTTTTTTAAGAGTTTATTGAATAGATAAGGAAACTGTACTGAACCCTAGTCAAGTTATGACTAGATAGCCACATTCTAGCTATAGGAGAAAGGAAGGAATTCTATTATTTCTGGGAGTGAAAAAGATGGGAGAGGGGAATAAAAAGCCTTCAGAAAGGTCTTCCTTATACCAAGAAAAGATATAATATCTCTCTGCAACTGTACAACACAACACTTATGCAGCTAAAGTACTATAATGGTTTCTTTTAAACACAGCAGGTGCAAACAAGGTAAGGAAAGAAAGAATAAAAGCATTCAAAGTACCAGAAGCAGATTTAAAGGTGCAAACATCCCCAATTTTAAAACTTGCCATGTTTTATTTCCTGGGCACCAACATCAGGTATTTATAAGAAATAATAAAATATTGGCCAGGTGCAGTGGCTAACACCTGTAATCCCAGCACTTTGGGAGGCTAAAGCGGGTGGATCACATGAGGCAAGGAGTTCGAAACCAGCCTGGCCAACATGGCAAAACCCCATCTCTACTAAATATACAAAAATTAGTTAGGCATGGGGTACACATCTGTAAACCCAGCTACTGAGGAGGCTGAGGCAAGAAAATTGCTTGAGCCTGGGAGGCAGAGGTTGTGGTGACTGAGATCGTGTCGCTGCACTTCAGCCTGGATGACAGAGTGAGACTCCGTCTCCAAAAAAAAAAAAAAAAAAAAAAAGAGAAATAATAAAATACTCTGTATACATTCAAGCCAGACAAGAGCATGTATTGTAACTTTATGTCTATGATATATGAAGTGTAAGAAAAACACACCTTAAAAATATTTGAAATGACTATTACCCTAATATTTAGGTCCCAACTAAAGAAACTTATGGTACCAATTTAATTTACAAAGAAACCACTCTTTAAATTTTCATTTTTCAATTAAAAACCGACTGAATTATTCTGTGATCCCAGCCAGATATTTTTCTTTTACCTCTCTTCCCTTAACCCTCTTCCTATGCATATAGAAAGCTTCTGAAGAAAGATGCCATTAACTCTTTCAATCGCTTTAAAAACCATTTCCAGAATGGACGCTTTTCAAAAAATTAAAAACAGAACTATCTTATGATCCAGCATCTCCAATTTAGGGTATATATCCAAAGGAAATGAAATCAGTATCGTAAAGAGTTATCTTCATTTTGGCATTATTTGCAATAATCAAGATACTAAAAACATACCTAAATGTACACACACACACACACACACACACAGAATATTATCCAGCCTTTAAAAAGAAAATCCTGCCATTTGCAGCAACCTGGATGGACCTGGAGGATGCTAAGTGAAATAAGCCAGACACAGAAAAACAAATATTATATCATCTCATTTACATGTGGAACCTAAAATAGTTGAACTCACATTGATATAGAGTAGGTGGTTACCAGGGCTGGGGTGGGGGGAAATGGGGAGATTTTGGTCAAGGGATACAAAGTTTCAGCCACATGGATGAATAAGTTCTGGAAATCTAATATATGACAATGTGATTATACTTAACAATATTCTAGTGTATACTTGAAATTCATTAAGAGGATAGATCTTAAGTGTTCTCACCATGGACACAAAAAAGTGGCAACTATCTGAGGTAATAACATCATTTGAAGTGATCATTTTACAGCATCTGTACACATTGAATCATCAGATTGTATACCTCAAATACATACAATCTTTAATTATCAAATACATGTCAATAAATTTAAAAAATTTTTCCTGTAAATTTCCTAAATAGAGAGAACGTTATGTTGTGAATAAATATAGAAAAACAGTCATTTAAGGATACAGTGATTTTTTTTAAAAAAAGAACCAAAAATAATTCATTTAACTGACTTGATGCTACTTAAGCCAGTCAAAGATATAACATACAATGCTCTGGTTTTTCTTCATAACAAATAAATCTTTTGCCTTTTACTAAAGATTTCCATGAAGAAGAACAATTATGAGTTTATAACCAAATTTTCTGAAGTCCTGCTTAGGCAGAGCTAAAAAAAAAAAAAAAAAGATAGACAAAAAGTACATATTTTGTGCTACCTTTTACTCTATGTTTCCAGTCCCCTCTGTAGTAATAACTGCGTTCACTTCAGAGATATAGAACCTAGACCAAAAGATCACCAACTTTCCACTGCGTACCTAATCTCAAGTATAACTACAGTACTGAAAATGAACAACAACTTTCACTAAGAACCTTGAAGAAAATCATCCCCCTAAAAAAGAAAATTGGGCACAGAGTTCAAGCTTCTAAAGATCTGGGTATATATCCCAAGGAATAGAAATCATTCTATATAAAGATGCATGCACGCACACGTTCATTGCAGCACTATTCACAATAGCAAAGACATGGAATCAAACCAAATACCCATCAACGATAGACTGGATAAAGAAAATGTGATATATATACACCATGGAATACTATGCAGGTATAAAAAGGAATGAGATCATATCCTTTGCAGGGACATGGATGGAGCCGGAAACTGTTATCCTCAGCAAACTAACGCAGGAACAGAAGACCAAGCACCACATGTTCTCACTTATAAATGGGAGCTGAATAATCAGAACACATGAACACATGAACACATGGTGGGGAACCACACACTGGGGCCTGCTGGAAGAAGGGAAGAGCATCAGGAAGAATAGCTAATAGATGCTGGGGTTAATACCTAGGTTATGGGTCAATCTGTGCAGCAAACCACCATGGCACACATTTACCTATGTAACAAACCTGCGTATCCTATGCATGTACCCTGGAACTTAAAACAAAAGTTGAAGGAAAAAAACAAAAATACATTTTGATGTTCTTTTTAAATAAAAAAATAACTAAAAAAAATCTTAAATTTTGTTTTTAATTTTCTTCTTCTATCTTCTATAGAATTTTCTATATGATCTTAATGATAATCGATGTGCTATTACATTGATTACAGACACAATATAATAAAAGTGAGTTTTACTCACCAAGTGATTCTTTCAACTTACTCCTGCGCTGGGTTCTAGCATAAAGGACCACCTGCTGAACAACTTCTAATTGCTCTTCAATTCGGGGAAAATGGAAGTCAGTGCATTCTTGGCAAACTGTGGCAAAATCTAAGGGACCCAAAACATTTACAAACTTCTAAATGTAAATATCAAATATTTAGTATTTACTTATAGACAAGAGATTTAGTAGAAACAGAAAATAATACAAGTATGATTTCTTATACTTGTCCTTTAAATAATTCCACCTTAAGTTAGGGTATAACAATTTTGTTTTAATTAGAAACTTAACCTCTCAATCACTCAAAAGAGTAAACAATTAAGAGACAAAGAAATGTTAATATAATTCTAGGTCTTCTTTAAATAATACTTTGATCATATTCTATCCCAAAAGGTGCTACAAAATATGAGAAGGTTTTTATATTTATGAAGGGAAATAAATTCTATTTAAGCTTCTTTCAAAAATAGGTATACATTTCATATATTTTATATATTTTACATCTTATATATTTAGAAACTTAGAAATAATCATAAAAAGTGAGTTGTACTAAGAGGGAAGGTAGAATTTTACCTAGCAAATTTAAGAGGTACGTTATTAAAAAAAAAATAGAGAGAGACAAACGGATGAGCTAAAAATCACCAAGCCAGGATTTGCTTCTAAACTGAAAACATGTGATTGTCCTTTTTGTTTTACCTTGTAATGAGATTTCTATAAGAACATTCTTTATAATATAATAGTATTTTAAGAAAAATAAATATCATGAAGCACTCTATCAGTGCTACAGTTTGAAATAAAGTAACTATGACTGGGTATGTCTTTTTGGTCCACTTGAATGTTAAGGTGACTAAAATTTTTTTCAGTTTCCCCATAATTCCTTTCTTTTTAAGAATGGTGTTACGGGGTGAAATTTAACAAAATAAATGTGTATGATGGTAACTTACCTCTTTTAATACCACTATATGAATTAATTCGATTATCCACTAGTAAAACCAGGCCACAGAGAGATGTAGAATAAAGCGACAGTGCTGTTTGGAGCCGATGAAGTTTCACGCCACTTCGATGATTTCTTTTATGCTTACAGAAGTCCAGCATATCTGCTCTCAGCAATCTCAAATTATGCATGGTCTTCAACTGGGCTCCTGGGGGTAGGTAATCATCCAGGAAAGATACTTAAACAGCTGCAAGAAGTCCAGTATAAGAGGATGCAAATCTCTATGGCAAGAATCCAGATAAATCTATACTACAAAATAATTAAAAATGGGCCTTGCAACTTCCCATTTTAATGACTATTTCAATTTAATCTTTCTATCTGCAAAAAAATCATATAAGCTAAAATACAAAATTTAAAGCCAAAAAACTATAGTCTTTCTTAAAGCAAAACATAATCTGGAATTAAAAATAACAAAGGTATACTCTACTTACACACTAGGGATTCTTCTCTTACAGTATATACAAAAAGTTTCAGTGGCCAGGAATGGTAGCTCATGCCTATAATTCTAGCACTTTGGGAGGTCAAGGTGGGTGGATTACTTGAGCCTAGGAGTTCAAGATCAGCCTGGGCAACATGGTGAAATCTTGTCTCTATTATTTAAAAAAAGACTTCAGAAGTTACAATAAATTATAACTGCAAAAAATTAATACACTTACCTAAGTGAATGGTAAAACTTTCTTCTAACTTTCTCTGCTCGTCATAAATCCTTCCAATTGCTTCTACAGATTCTCTGAACTGACTTGGTTGAACTTTAATTTCCTCACTGAAAGTAGTAAAATTATTGATATACTTTTGGTTGGGCAAGAACTTTTCTTAAAGGAAAGCTTTATAACAAGAGAAAACTGAACAGCTGAAAGTCTTGCTTAATTTTTTCCTAAACTCTCCATAGTGACAAGTAAGACCATAAGCGCCAACAGGATCTAAAATTCCTACTTGTTCTTTCATTTCCTCAGAATAAATAAAGCAGATTATTATTTTCAATCATTATGTCAATTAATATATTGCCATTTAACATTTTTAGCAGCCTAAGAGAATGATTAAATAAAGTGATTTATTAGTTTAAAATCACATTGTGTTTCAAAATATATAATACATCCTATGCTAGGGCTAGCTCTAGGCAAAATTAGAAAATAGATGAATAGGAATAACAATTTAAGATTAAAGTTAAATAAAATAAATAATAAAAAGATTAAGTTCATTTTGATATATACACATCCTTTATTTTTACCATTTCTTGTTTTTTACCTTCAAAATTCTCCTCCCACTAAACTGCCTTTCTCTGTTCTCCTCTTTATAGTTCTTAAAAAGCCTTCCACAAAACAGCAATAACTATATCACTGTTCAATTCAAACAGTGGTATGCTCAAGATGATGTATGTCTGTAAGAGTCATCCGTTTCCCTGACTAAATTTTTGGGGCTAATCCCAATAGCCCCATTAGACTCAATGACACACTTCATTAGTAAATAGGGTAAAATTAAACCTAGCCAGATAATCTACAACAGGAGACCCCAACCTCTTTCCCCCGCAGGCAGCAGGTGAGTGAGCATTGCCATCTGAGTTCCACCTGCCATCAGATCAGGGACCGGCGGCAGCATTCGATTCTCATAGGAACATAAACTGTAATGTGAGCTGCGCATGCAAGCGATCTAGGTTATGTGCTTCTTGTACAACAGTTTCATCCCCAAACCTTTCCTGTCTCTCCTGGAAAAAACTGTCTTCCGAGAAACTGGTCCCTAGTGCCAAAATGGTTGAGGACTGCTGATCTACAAAATCACATTTTCTGGAGTCCATCAAAGATTTGTGATAATAAGGCAATCTAATAAACTGAATTCCAAACTGTGATATATTCCTTCAAGGACAGACAAGACACATAAAGAGTTTTATCTTTGTTAGAGCATAGCTGAAATAGAATGCTGGCATACAAGGGGATAAAAAGAAAGCAGCTACAATTTTAACAGATTCTTTTTTTTTTTTTTGAGACGGAGTTTCGCTCTTGTTACCCAGGCTGGAGTGCAATGGCTCGATCTCGGCTCACCACAACCTCCGCCTCCTGGGTTCAGGCAATTCTCCTGCCTCAGCCTCCTGAGTAGCTGGGATTACAGGCATGTGCCACCATGCCCAGCTAATTTTTTGTATTTTTAGTAGAGACGGGGTTTCACCATGTTGACCAGGATGGTCTCGATCTGTTGACCTCATGATCCACCCACCTCGGCCTCCCAAAGTGCTGGGATTACAGGCTTGAGACACTGCGCCCGGCCAATTTTAACAGATTCTTAAAGGCCAAGTGGGCTAGCATATAAAGTTAGAATAGGTCAGAGCCACAGGCACATGAACTTGCAAACTCTTTTCTATTGGCCTCCATCAGGTATTTCCAGAAAAGACTGAGGGCAGGAGACAAGAGAGCCTTCTCAAGGGCACAGGCAGAAATGCTGAAAATCAAGATAGTGAGTTGAATGGGTGACTCTGTCTCCCAGGCATTCCAGGTGCCAGTTGAAATGGTGCCCAGATTTGTGTGAGTTTTTCTGTGGAGACCCAGTGCGCTGGCTGAAACAGCCATGCTGGAAACTCATGGCACTTTTCCACCCAGGAATCTCCTGGTCTGTGGGTAGTAAAAATTCGTTTGGAAATGCGGTGATCACTCAACCTCTGTGTTCTTGCTGGGAACTACACTCCAGGGCTGTTCCTATTTGGCCATCTTGGATCTGTCCTGCCAGGGATAACTTTTTTTTAAGAGACAGTGTCTCACTCCTGTTACCCAGGCTGGAATGCAGTGGGGCATGATCATGAAGAGAGAACTTTTACAGCAAGGGGCTTTCACGGCTTCCTTAAATCAGTGGTTTTCAATGTTTCTGATTACAATATACAGTATATATTTTAACTCTTGGCTAAATACAACACGTTCATGTATAGAAAGCTTCTTGTATGATGCACTCTGATTTTTTTTCCTATTCTATGCTCTTGTTATTTTTAAAAGGCTGGTTGAAAAAAAAGATATGTAGAATGGTTCATAGCAGGCTGCAACAAACAGTTTGGGGAAAACAGTGACACAAATGAAAGATTGTAATAGATAAGAGATGATACAGGTGTTAGGTAAAGAGTCAACAATAACCTCTGTCTGTCCATCCATCCATCCCATAAATTTTTACTGAGCATGTACTATGTGCTAGTGTCAAGAGGTCAAGGGCTAAACACTGGCCAAAGAGCTGGGTATCTGACCAAAAAAAACACACCAGATATGAGACTGACATTATATAGATAAAATGCTATTTCAAAATATTTATAGTATATACTGGCATATGCTAGAAATAAGGGTATTATACTGTACTCAGTATATTTACAATTGAATATACTTAGGGATTTGACAAAAATTAATTTTCAAACGTACACATACATAGCCAAGAAATAACATAGGCATGGTCAAGCTCTAAGGGAACATGTAAAACACAATTTATTTAGGCCATGAGTTGCCACGCAAGTTATGATTTATGAGAAATCCTCCACACTATTTCTGTACCTTCTACATGCTTCTGTTACTGCACATACCATTCTATACAGTATTATTTTATTTATAGATCAGTCTTTCTTTCTAGAATATAAGCTCCATATAGGCAGGTATTTTTTTCATTTTTCTGCTTAGAGAGTGTTTGGCATTCCACCAATGTTTACTGCATGCAGGGGAAATTAAAGAAATAAAGATAGTATTTAAGTATTTAGGTATATGTATCTAGAACATAAAAGTAAGTTCTATTTCAAACTAATCATAACCATTGCCGTCCAAATAATCCACATAAATCCTATAATGTAAAAAATGGTAAAAGAAGCATAAAATTATCTTGAACTTTCACTGGCAACTTAAAGTACATAGAGCTAAAAGGTTTAACTTTGTAGTAAATATAAGCTATTACTAACAACGGACTATTATATGAATAAGAACAATACATAGCTAATACCTAAGGGAGCTGTTGTTGGGGTTTTTTAGGTCGTGGTGAAGTTTTATCACCCATTCTTGATACTCTTGTTTTTGGATGGCAGTTGATTGTTTTAATTCATTCGACCATTTATTTTCTAGGTCCTAAAAGAAACAGTGTACCATCTGGTTAATGTTTTTCAACCAAATACATAAATAAATAAAAGAAACTGCAACTGTATACCTAAAAGTCACCATATTTCACTTACTTGCTGGGATTCAAAATGCTGAGCAGCCAGTGAATTTACATCTTGATCTGTCAGTGACTTTCCCAATTCCTGCATCACTTTTTCCATTTCAATACCTTGTCTAAAACACAAATAAGCAAATCAGGGATTTTCATCAAAGTTTCAATTTATATGATCCTTCAGATTCATTGAACAATCTCTATAAAGTAAAAATAAAAATTTTATTTTATTTATGTCCAGGAATGAGAATTAGAACTGGAAAGTACTTAGAATCCTTGGAAATGGAGACTAGCAAATAATGATGATAGTGTTATATACCAAACAGCAACATCATTTGTGCAGCTAAATTTTAACCTAAATTTATTGCATAAATGAAAGCAGTCAAAATCTAAGTTACCTTTCAATTACCATGGCTAATGTTAAAAACACTGAATCTCTTTTTACCTGCAAATTTCCTCAAAGAAGAGGCTCTGCAATTTCAGCTTAAATGGATTTTCTATTTGTATATAAACAAAAGTGACTTCAACCTCTGAAAGTTAGTTTATGTTATATCCAGAAGCAGACAATTAGATCCTAGGAGTCAAATTATTATTAAGTCATAAAATGTACAGAGGGATGTAAAATATAGTCTAAAGATATTGGTCACGCCTCCTGCATTTATCCAAAGAAATAATGTGTAAAAATTAAAAACAATTTTCCCTACAGGAAAAACTAACCAATGGTGTTAGAAGTACAGATAATGGTTATTTATGAGGGAACGGGTGAAGGACTAGAAGGGCATGAAAGAGGCCTCTGTAATGCTGGAAATATTCTATTTCTTGATCTGGGCAATGCTTATGTGATTGTGCTTAACTTGTGAAAGTTTGCTGAGCTGTAAACCCTAGAATCTGGTTTGCTTAAAAAAAAAAAAAGGCACATTTCTTTGTTGCCTTTTCTGTATGTATATTTTAATAAATAAGTTCGTTAAAAAATTCAAATTAAAGATTATCTTCTAATACAAATGTATGCAAAAAGTTTGTTCTAAAACAAATTTCTAACAAACTGGGAAAGAACAAAACACAGACATAAACTAAAAGGATATCATCATCCTAGTTAATTCAAGTAAATTGCTCTTAAGAGTGAATTTATGGCTGGGCGCAGTGCCTATACTCCTATAATCCCAGTACTTTGGGAGGCCGAGGTGGGCAGATCACCTGAGGTCAGCAGTTCGAGACCAGCCGGGCCAACACAGTGAAACCTGGTCTCTACTAAAAATAAAAAATTAGCTGGGTGTTGTGGTGTAATTCCACTACTCGGGAGACTGAGGTAGGACAACTGCTTGCACCCAGGAGACGGAGGTTGCAGTGTCACTGCACTCCAGCCTGGGCGACAGAGCGAGACTCCATCTTACAAATAAAAAAAAAGAGTGAATTTATACTTATTTATAACATTGATTAAGATACTTATATATATGATAAATTAAATTCAAACAAGTTATACATGTATACATTTCTATATATACCTTCTGGTAGTAAATATTCAATATCATTTAAATCCCACTTAGTTCTAACGCATATGACTCCATTAACTTTTAATAACTACTACAGGTCAAGTGAAAATTATGCTTGCAAGTAAGATTCTTATTTAGAAACAGAAATAACTGCTAAACATTTATAAATACAAACTTAGTTATAAATATATATTACTATTTTACATTACACATGTTCCCTCTAGTGGATAAAAGGTATCACTGTCATTTTTAAAGAAATATCTAGAATCTGGTTTGCTAAAAAAAAAAAGCACATTTCTTGTGAAGAAAAAAGAAGACAGATAGAAATTAAACAAATAAAATTTCACATTTATTTCATCTTAAATATGTCCAAAATGCAACTTGATAATCACATAATGATTCAATTTATATTTTCTCTAATTAAGATGAAAGGAAATTTTATTATATCTCAGATGAAATACTAAATACAGATTGGCTCAGTATGTCAGATGTGACAGCTATGGCAACCTGTATATTACCTTGAAGATACTTAAAGAGAAAAGATCATTATAAGTTGTTTTGTTGATGCCGTGCTAAGAAAACTGTCTTTTAAAGATGTACAATAGCATTAAAATGAAAGGAGAAATAAGAAAATGTGTCACTTCTGCTCATGAATTGGATAAATAAATTAAGCATCAAAATTTCAGGTGAACCTCCACAGACACTAGTGAATTTCAACTTAAGTCACACTCTTCACCTTTACAATAAATATCACCCACCAGGGAATATAGCTTATTTTTCTTTGTCAACCTAATGATTTGGACAGATGAAAAATAAATTATAAATCACTTAAAAATAGATGAATTCAAGTATGATTTATATGTTTAGAAAGAAAAAAGAAGGCCAAACCCCATGAAGAAATATGGCCAAAGATTATTTCAAACAATAAAATAAGCCAAAGCAAACCTCTATTAAAAACTCTTCCATGAAAAAGTATAAAGTACCAGTAAATGCAGCTAATTAGTAAGTTAATTCAACTTCCCAAAAGATGAAGAATCATGTAGAACAGAAATCTTCTGATTTAGAAAAAGAAACAATTATAGACTATTAATGGCTAGATACAGAGTTTTCTGGGAGGTACAGGCAGCAAACTGTGCTATAAGTGAGTCACTCACAGCTGAAAGTACTACCAATGGAGGGTAGGTAGCCAAAATGAGTGTTTCCCAGTATATGCAAAGAAGCAGAATGAGTATAGTCACAGAAAACCTGAGAGCTAATAATAAATTCAGGATGAACTGAAGGTTATATTATTTGAAGGCCTAGGAGGAAAAATCAAACACATGAAGTTCGACACAAAGTAATTAATTAATATTAGGTAATTCTACTTTTATGTATTTTTAAAAACCTAATTCTATATTTTGTTCTTCTTTTTAAACTATATTCACAATTTTACTGGCTACACAATAAAGAACTAGAAAAAATATTTTGTTTTTCCTAGGGAAATATGTTTCTACTATATACCTAGTGACAACCACTCACTGCAGGTATCTCATCTAAAAGGAATAACCTGCCTCAATACAGCTGGTCAATAAAACAAAACCTACAAACAGGGACAAATGTCTCAACACATCGTGTTATTTTCGACAAAGAGATCATTCTAATATTTTGCAAAGTATGAGAATAAATGGTCCAGAGGAGTACAATTGTTATGAAAATTTACAAATCTATGCAATATAATTAAAACACTAATTTGGTACACAGAAGAGAGTATCCCTAGAGAACAATTATTAAATATATTTGCTTATTTTTTTTGTTTGTTTTCTTAACCATGACAATGCTCCAAAGATTCTCATCTTGCTTGCCTTACTGTTTTCTAACGGGAAGCTAATGAGAATCAGGAACAAACCAGCACATCTTTTTAGATTTACTCCTTTGGGAATATTAAATCAGTTATATTTAAAAAAAAACACAGAAGTGATTTAGTCCTAATGTACTCTCATAATCAAATCAACACTAAAAATTATCTTAATGGCATATAACTTAGTATCTTAAATAAGTGTTTTTAAGATAATAAACGTTGTTAGATTCTGCTGTATTAAAATGGATTATCTAGAACAACACATCCTGAATTCCTATCACAGTTTACACAGTTACTAGAAAGCAATCAAGGAAGACACTTATTATTTTAAAATAAATAATGCTAGAAGTTTTTTACATACTCTGAAGAAAAAATAAATAATAAAAGCACTATTTGTATGCTGTGTTAAGTAATCCACACAGCAGGAATTCAAATCTAATTACAATTTCTTGGAACAATACTAGTGTTATTATTTTTTCCTAATGTACTTGAGTGTACAAAATAAACTGAAAGAGGCCATTGAGTTGGAGCAGGGCAATACAGAGGTTATGAATAGGGACATAGAATGGTACAGCGGTTAACAGTTCCTGAAGTCAGATTTCAAATTCCAGCATGCCCTTGGACAAGTTACTTAACTTATTTAAGCAAAAACTTCTTCATCTGTAAAATGGAAATAATAGTACGGTTATGGTAAAGATCAAATGAGACAGGACATCCAAAGCACTTTGCACAGTGCCTGGAACAAAGCAAACCTTCAACAGAAGTAATCTATTCATCTTATGGAGATAAGAATATATCAGGCCACCAGCATCATTTATTTAGGTAAACCACTTAGAAAGGATATAAATCTATGAGGACCCTCCCAGTTGTAGTTACACATTTAAACATACAAGAAAATTGATTTCTAATATTGAAGTATTTTTTCTATCTTATCATTTCTTTTTTCTATCTTATCATTTCAACTTGTAAAAAATAAAAACAAGTTGCTCTGCAGGCCACGTGTTTGACAATGCAACATTTAGTTCTGGTAATGCAAGAAATTTGAAATACCTCTCTCGTAATTTTTTCAGCTCCACATCTCTTTCACCGATCAGTTCTGAGATACTAACAAAGTAATTATGTTCCAAATTTAAGAGAGTTTCAGAGGCAGGAGAATGAATTAAGTCATGGTAAACATCTGCAAAATCTTCATCCCAGCTGGGTTCTTCAGGCCTTGCATGTTCTAATGTAGTCTACAAGATAATATACGGACATTCTTAAATCATGACATAGTGTTTTTATTTAACACTACTAGAAAAGTATGTATATTATGATTCCATTTTTATGCATCAGACAATGACAAACTGATCTGTGGCAAGATCAGTTTCAGTAAGTTGGTGAGTGTGGAAACTAGATATCTAACAACCTACCTGTCTGTCAGTCACTGTGATTCCTGTCTGTCACTCACTCCTCAATATCCAAATATCCATGCGGATAACCCATCCAAGGCCCTGCTTCTTACTTTCCTGAACTCTACAATCTTTACTGTGGAGTCCCAATTAAGGAAAAGGAGTCAGGCTGGCAGGACCAGGGGAAAGCAAAAAGAGAAAGCAGACAAGCTCTCATTGCCCAGACCAAGCTTGTCCAACCTATGGCACAGGATGGCTTTGAATGCTGCCCAACACAAATTCGTAAACGGCAAGTTTTTTATTTGAAGCTCATCAGCTATTCTTCAGGTTAGCGCATTTTATGTGGGGCCCAAGACAACTCTTCTTCTTCCAGTGTGGCCCAGGAGAGCCAAACGATTGGACACTCCCGGTCCAGCCCTTCTGCGCCCAACTTTCACCAGACACCTGCAAGTTAGCTGCAAGACTGGGGTTATCAGGACTGCATGTACCACTCTACAGCATACAGTATAAACACTGTCCTGTAAAATCTCCAGCAAGCCTTTGTTTCCTTGAAGTCAGCTTCTCTTCTACTGGAAGTCAGCTTCTCTTCTACTGGCCTGCCCACTGCTTCCTCTCAACATATTTTCCTGCTTTCTCTAATAAGTCTACCTCTCTTTATCTACAACTGTCTTGGCAAATTCTTTTACTCTGGCGCCACCAGCCCAGATAGTCGTCGTTCATCTGCGACATTTACTAGTTCTCCATACCACCTCGATATTCCATTTAGTATCCTCACCAAAAACTCAGTCAGTCAGTATTCAAACATTCTAGTCTGACTATAACGTCCAACCAAAATTTGTCACTCAACACTTCCCAGGTAATTGATATTTAACCTCATCAGGACCTGCACTTCATAAATTCCTTGATGTTTTCCTTTTTTTTCAGCCATCAACTGCCACCTAGCTTCACTTCCTTCCCTATGTAGCTTACATTTTGTGAACCAGCATTCAGCCACTGTCATGCCAATATCCTTAACTTCCTTGACTGGTGTACTTTATCTTACCCACTTAACAAAATCCTAATCTTATTCCTTTTCTCTGTGCCTGCAGTCAGGCTTCAGAGAGCTACAACAGAAAAATCACAAAACTCTGTAAGTTTGTGGTAACAAACTGGTACCACTCTTAATCTTGGCTTCAATGGTGCCTGGTAATCCTATCATTCCCTGCTCAGTTTTCTCCTCAAATATCCAACAATCTTATTATACCTACCACCTCATCTAAGCAAACAACCTGTCTTTCCTTATATAAAGTTGAAACAATCAGAAGAGAATATTCTCAACTTCCTGCTACCAAATTAATAAAATTATCTGAATTTATATTCAACCTCTCCTGCTTCTCTTTGGCTATAACTGGAGAAGTATCTATTTTCCCAGTTAGGATTAATTTTCCATTTGAATTCTGGATTCTATTGCTTCTACTCCTAAACTCTGCCTCCTTAAAAAACAAACAAACCTTTGATCTTGTTAGATAATAATGGCCATGAAAGATAAGGGGTGCTGAATGGTTTGAACCTTAAAAAAGCCAGGTATTATGCCTGAAAGTAGAGGTGGGGAAATAATGGCCTGGACATGAAGAGCTTTCTCTCTGCAGCCACTTCCTCAGTGCTCCATTCCTCTCAGCCATCACAGTCTCCTTTCTAGTAGCATCTGTCCTGAGGGAGTGGTGTAAATTAGATCAAGAAAAAACTATACTTGGTTCCTCTCACGTAGGTATCTTTTGCCTATTCATAAGGCTTGCCCTAGGCTGAGTTTAAAATTAATGCTGCAGATTACTATAGTCAGATGATCTTGTAGCGGGGCTACTGAACATCTGGTGTTGTGTGTGTTACGTAACGAATGCATGCAAGTTATTTTACCATACAGTATGTTAGAATATAAAAAAAGGCTATTAGAAATCCCGCTGTTCTGAAATAGCCACCATTAGCATTTTGTTGATCGTGTGTGTGTGTATGATTTCACAGAAATGAGGTCATAGCATATGCTTTTATTGTGGACACTTCCTGTCCCTTCCTCCACATTAGTACCTCCTTCTCATTTTGCTTCCAGGTAACTTATATTAAGAACTTAGTCTATATCTCTCCACATTTTTTTTCTATACTTAAGACAATCCTATATAATGCACACAAATATATTTACACACACATATATAAAAGAGGGTCTTTCTGTCATTGTCTGATGTTATGAAACAGTATACTATTTAACTAGAAAATGATATTATGTGACTTTACAACAATAATGAAGATAAGTTTATTACTGCTGGTTTAGGGTTGCCAGATAAAATACAGAACAGCCACTCAAATTAGAATTTCAGATGAATAGTGAAAAATTTTTCAGTATAAATATGTTCCATGTAATATGCTGGCATACTAAAAAATTGGCTGGTGGCTCATGCCTGTAATCCCAGCACTTTGGGAGGGTGAGGTGGGCAGATTATAAGGTCAGGAAATCAAGACCATCCTGGCTAACACAGTGAAACCCCGTTTCTACTAAAAATACAAAAAATTAGCTGGGCATGGTGGCATGCACCTGTAATCCCAGCTTCTTGGGAGGCTGAGGCAGGAGAATCGCTTGATCGCGGGAGGTGGAGGTTGCAGTGAGCCAAGATTACACCACTACACTCCAGCCTGGGCAACAGAGTAAAGACTCCATCTAAAAAAAAATTTTTTTTTTAAATCATTGATCTGAAATTCTAACTTAACTGGGTGTCCTGTATTTTTAATTACTAAATCTCGTGACCTTATGCTGGTGAGATATATGAAAGTAGCCTCTTGTTTTACAAAGGTATTACATAAAAAGCATTTTGTCTTATGTGCTCACCCTGATATAGGAAGCACTGAAGCAGCAACATATATATTGTAGAATAAATACTGGTATGTGGAGAAAAAGGATCTTATAACTATTTCAGGATTATCATAGCATTTAAAAAATTCTCACCAAAATCCAGAATATACTTGAAATTTACCATCTGATATATTCTCTTACCTCAGCATAAGCTTTGGCCCATGTACTCGCCAGCTGATGTAAATCTACCTCACCTGATTTCACAGCTTCCAGGGATGCTTCAGCATCTCTATCATAATCTCTGAGAGATTCCTCTTCTATAAACTGAGTCAGAGCTTCTTTTAAGTCTGTTACAGGGATATCAAACACCATCATCAGCAAAATCCAGGTATAAATAGGGAACATTTTACCTGGCTGAGAATTCCAATGTGAAATCTTATTTTTAAATTTTTATTTATTTATTTTATTTACAGATGGGGTCTCTCTCTGTTACCCAGGCTGGAGTGTAGGGGCATGATCACAGCTCACTGAAGCCTTGACTTCCTGGACTCCAGGGATCCTCCCACCTCAGCCTCCAGAGTAGCTGGGACCAAAGGTACATGTCACCAAGCATGGCTAATTTTTGTATTTTTGGTAGAGACAGGTTTTGCCATGTTGCCAAGCTGGTCTCGAACTCTTAAGTTCAAGTTTTCCACCTGTCTTAGCCTCCCAAAGAGCAGGGATTACAGGTGTGAGCCACCTTACCTGGACATGAAATGTTATTTTATCAAGCTGATACTCAATATAATCTCCAACTAAAATGAAACCAGCTTAGGGGATCATTTATCTAATTTCGTGTTTATTTTTCTTTACTATTACAGGCTATTGCATAGAGAAAGGTCAAAAGTCTTATCTCTTATGTATACCCTTAATTATAACGAAGTAATGTTACTTTCTTAAGCCTGATAATTCAGTTTGAAGCCAAGTGAGTATGAGCACATAAAGAAAATGCTACAGATTTTAGGGGTCTGAACATAACTGTATTTAGATTAAAAACAGTTTTCCATGTAACTTTACAGGGTACATTGTTACATGCTTTGAAAGAGAAGAGGAATGACTATCTTATTAAAACATTTCACTCAGATCAGATTTCAGTTTTACAGACACCATTTAGAGAATGACATAATAGAAGAGTACTGAGAAAGAAGTTAGGACACCTGTGTTCTAGCTTTGGCTCTGTCACTATGTCTGTGACTTTAGATAGTGGTTCATAATCTTGAACATTCATTAGAATCCCCTGGATGCCTTATTGAAACAGACTGCCAGATGCTACCCCAGTTTCTGATTCAGCAGGAATGGGATGGAGCCTGAGAGTTTGCATGTCTAACAAGCTCACAGGTGATGCTGTTGCCAGAAGCCATATTTCAAGAACCACTGCCTTAGGTAAATAATTTAACCTCTTTATGTCCCAGATTCCTTATTTGTACAATACGACTGGGTTATAAGGTTTCTAGGTCTCTTGTAACTCTAACCTACGATTTAACATATTCTGAATTTTAAATTTTTCCTAGACTGTGAGATAGAACACAGACCTCTAAAAATGGTTTAATACATATCACTTTATAAAAGTAATTTAGGTCAGCAAAGACTATTCAAAAATTAGTACACTTTCTGTTCTATGGCATCTCAGAAGCTAATGACCAGATTATTAAAAGGGCAACCAATCTAGTGCTACAATTCTATAATACCACAAGCTGAACTGCCTTATGACTTCACTCAGAGAAATTCAAAGAGCTCCTCTAGTCCAATCTTTGTATCTGATTTTTCATTATAAAATCGAATTTGTATACCTTACAAACAACTACCAGAGTTACAGGAAAAAACACTCAATAAAAGAAAGCTCTGAGGAAGTGTACTGATTCTTGGAATCAGTTACTATTTTATGGCTGTTTCCAAAGCTTCTTAGGTTTATGCTTTCTAATATGAAACTTCTAAGGACAAATACTGTTGAAAATAATAAAGTGGTATTACCTAAAAAAAAGAATCAGTCCTCACCTTTTTCTATAAAGCACGGTAAATTGTGCAGCTGCATCAGACGTCCATGCAAATGACTGGCATTCTCTTGAATGGGAAATCTGAGTGGCACTCTCAGTTCTAAGCACTGACTTCCTACTTTAAATTCATACACAAATTCTCTCTCTCTACTGCAGAATCTTTCTCTGTTTTTCTTCATATTCTTTGACAGGATTTCTATAGAACTAACAAAAAAGCAGTAGGTTATGAGTCCATAAATATACTATGTTTCATTATTGCTGTCCCACTTCTAAGAAAACATTCCGCCATTCAAGAGATTTTATCTGTGTGACTATGAGCCAATTATTCTAGTTTTTCCCAAGTGTTATCCCTGTACTCCTATCTTCATGATGAAAACAAAGTGTTTTTTTAAAAAAAACAAAACAAACGAAAAACAAACAAAAAAAACCCACTTTGTTTTAAACTTGATTTAAGAAAAAAAAATTATGGCCATGAAGTACTTTATATTCCAAGGCAGGGTTCTCAACAACAAGGAAGGACCACGGAGAGAAGAGCAGAGAGAATTCTTAGGGAGAGCGCATGGGTGGGAAAATACAAAGCTTATGAAACAGTTCCTAAAAGAAAGTCAAAGAAACAGATCAGGGACCAAGCAGTGATCCTGGAGAACTTAGAGACTGTGGTCATGAGCTCTGATTAGGGGAAAGGGAGTAAGAAAGTGTTAGAAAGATTTCCATGTGGGAAGAACATATACAGAAAATAGAGGGTACAGGACCTCGACTTCCACCCCAAAGGGTGCCAAAGGTAAACTAGACACTATTAAGAAAGAAAATCTAGTTAAAGGCAGTAAGAATCAACACTGATTAAAAATTTATTTATTCATCAGCCTTGTAACTGGACTCCCTATGGCTAGGCTTTCTCTATCAAATCAGTTATTACATTATTTTCTACACTGAAGTTATAGGAATCTTATTTTATTTATTTATTTATTTATTTTTGGGTGGGGGGGGGACAGACTTTCACTCGTTACCCAGGCTGGAGTGCAATGGCACGATCTCGGCTCACCGCAACCTCTGCCTCCTGGGTTCAGGCAATTCTCCTGCCTCAGCCTCCTGAGTAGCTGGGATTACAGGCAGGCGCCACCATGCCCAGCTAATTTTTTGTATTTTTAGTAGAGACGGTGTTTCACCATGTTGAACAGGATGGTCTTGATCTCTTGACCTCGTGATCCACCCGCCTCCACCTCCCAAAGTGCTGGGATTACAGGCTTGAGCCACCGCGCCCGATTTAATTTTATTTATTTTTTTGAGCCGGAGTCTCCCTCGGTCGCCCAGGCTGGAGTGCAGTGGTGCGATCTCGGCTCACTGCAACTTCCACCTCCCTGGTTCAGGCAATTCCCCTGCCTCGGTCTCCTGAGTAGCTGGGATTACAGGCATACGCCACCACGCCCGGCTAATTTTTTTGTATTTTTAGTAGAGACGGGGTTTCACCATGTTGGCCAAACTGGCCTCGAACTCTCGACCTCACGCAATCCACCTGCCTCAAAGAGGTTGGGATTACGGGCGTGAGCCACCGCCCCTGGCCCATAATCTCCTTTTAAAAAAAGAATCTACTTATCTGATCATGTTGTTCATCTGCTTAAAAACTTTTTATGACATTCCATTGGTCTCAGGATAAAATGTAAACTCCTTACGCCAGTTTACAACGCCCCTACTTGTATTTCCGCTCTTCTCTCAGAAACTGCACCTCTCCTTCCTAACACACAAATTCACAAATTTTATTTTCCAGCCATTCTGAACTTCTGTCAACAGCAAACTTCTCTTTCCATGCCAAATGTTTTTGAATGTCTTTTCCTCTGCCTAGAGCACTCTTAACACTGATCTTAATTTCCTTGGATAGCAACTGCTAATTCTTCAGGTCCCAGTTTAGCCCCTCGGAAGACTTATCGAACTCCCTAAAACTGGATTGGGTCCCGACAGGCTCTCAGATTAGTCCGGATTTATTTGAATCATGGCACTTATCACGCTCTATTTTTTACCTTTGCTAGAAAACAGTCTTCTTGAAGTGGAAGGAATACTGTCTTGTATTCCATGTATTAGGCAGGATGCTGGGAATATAATGGCAAGAACTAATAAATAATTGTTGGGTTGTATGGCGTTTTTATTTTATGGGACTCACTGGAAAAATAAAGAACAGAACAAGTAATTATTCATACAGTTCTTTAAAAATATATCACTTGAAATATAAAAAAAATCTCAGACAAAAGACTTTTGTACGTGTGTGGAGGTGGGGGGAGGGGGTGAGGGACGTGGCTGATGAGTTGAATTATCTAGACTATATTTTCAAATATGCATGTAGGCTGTACACAAAATTATCATCTATTTCACCATCAAGCAAAGAGGCAGGGTGTTTATGTTTTACTCAGAAATAATTAGTTAACTAACATTTATTAAACTTAAAGCAATAAAAACTTTTATAGTGTTAGAAAACTACCCGAAACTACACAAAGGTCTAGTCTATGATGTAGAAATTCCACTCCTAAAGTATATATCCAAACACACACACGAATATGTTTGTTAAAATATATGCAGAAGAATGCTCATATAAGTTTTATTTATAATAGCCCCAAACTGGAAAACAACCAAAATGCCTATTATAGGAGAATGGTAAACTTGTTTATTTTATGAGATAAATACTACACAGCAATAAAAAAGAACCAACCACTAATAAATGTAAAAATATGAATGAATCTGGAATGTTGAAAAAAAAAAAAAAACAACACAAAAGCACTGGTTCAACATTTAGACGTGTGTTTCAAGAAACCGATGATTTTAGTGCTTTCTCCCCTCACTCTTTTTTAGACTAATGGTCTATCCAGAAGCTGTGGCTCAGTTTTAGCAACTGGGAAATCTAGGAAGATTTCCCATAAGAAAATGGGCTGAGAGGAGGGCTGGACCGAACACACAACAGCCAACAGAGCGGAGGCTGTGAGGCTCACATTAGTCAGGGAAAAGGAAGGCAGACGGTCGAGCTAAGAAACGTCAGCCGGGTGAGGGGACTAACCCCTCTGCAACGGGAGTCAGTTTGAAAGGGCTTCCTCACTCTCGGTTCTGGCCTCACCTCGCCTAGTTCCGAAGTCCTGAGCCGTCCGTTCACTCGAGCTGTCAAGTCGTCTAGCCCCGGGAAACCAGCTGATTTACCGACTTATTTTTACAGCCCGCTGATCCGCCACCGCAGATTCGCCACATTGTTTTCTAGTTCCTGGCATCTTGTAGAAAATTTCTCAGTCCAAGTGCCCCTTTTCTCAAACTGCTTCAATTTAACCATTTTAAAAATGTAAGAAAATGTATTTCTACTGTTATTCTGTATTTCAGAGACAACAAAAACCCTCCGTTGTGACGAAAGTGCAGAGACAAAGCACAAGCTCAGCTCTGGTGGACCGGATACGGAAAAGTGGTGTCTTGGGAAGGGCGGGAGCAAATTCGCTTTCCTAACTGCGCTTGCGCAGCCTTCAAGCATGGCTGGTGGTGATTGGACGACGGGTAGCAGGGGGCGGAGGGTGCCGATGTCTGGTTTTGGGCGGGAGTTGAAACCGCTACTGCAACCAACAAGAACTTGAGAACTGTAAATATCAAGTCTCGAAAGGGATCATGGTGCGGCCTGTAAGGTGGGTAGTTCCTGACATTTGGTGGGGGTGGGAAGAAAACTTAGGGGCATTACATGAGACTAAGGGAAAAGGATCGACTAAGTCCGGATCGCAGCGGTGGTGGGGGTAGGATAGTCGGTTATCGAGAATTCAGTCTCCAGTGATACCTGTAGCTCAGAAGTATCCTAGCATCGTAGCTTTTTCCTTCTCTTTGCCTCCCTTCAAACAGCCGTTGCCGTTTCTTTTATCAAGACCTTGTAATGTTAGCGTTTGAACAGCGCTTTACATTTCACCGAGCGCCCAATTTTGTGTTATTTTAGTTGTTCATCACTGTAGTTATTTAATATAGAAAGAGTAAACATTTCTGTTTTATTGATTTAACATTTCTACGTATAGAGGGTAAGTTACCTCAGTCATACTACCCAGTAAGTGGCAGGGCAATACTCAAACCTAACTCATCACACTGCAGATCGCCTGTGCTTTCCATTACAGTATTAGAAATGATTCCTCTATTTACAGCTGAGTGCCATGGAAGCCTACGATTCTTAGTAAAGTTATTGAACATATTCACTTCTATAATGTATGAAGTGCTGGAGGTTACATTCTAGTGGGAGGTGAGGTTAAGGGCCGAAAATAAGCATCGAAATATGATAGAGTGCAAAGGAGCAAAGCACTACTTTAAATATAGTAGTTATTTTGTGCCTCTCTGAGGCGATAATACATGCACTGAGTCATGAATCCGGGTAGAGGGAAGAGGAGCCAAAGCCCCATACTTGACTATGTTTTAGGGACAGTCTAAAGCTGTAGGATTAACAAGCAGTGGGGAGAATCGTAGGGGATTGGGTCAGAAAAATACGTGCCAGAACAGATAGGGTCTTTTAAGTCTTAGAAAGGAGTTTAGGTTTTGTTTTAAGTCAATGCGAAGTCAGTGGAGGGTTTTAAGTAGGGGAGAGAAATCTAAGTTTGCTTTTATAAAGGTCACTGGCTGCTTTTGGAGAATAAATGATGGATGATGGGGTGACCAGAATGGGAGCAGGAAAATCAGGCTGTTATATCATTGGAGAGCAGTTTGGCATAGGGTATTATCAGTGGACATGGAATGGAACAGATGAATTTGAGATGTGTTTTGGAGGCACTGCAGACAGAACTTGCCGATGAAGTAGATGTACAGGTCAGGGAAAGAATCAGAGATGACTCCACAGTAGTTTTGGTTTGAGGTACAGAATGGATGATCTTTGTATTAATTAAGATAAGGAAGACTAGGAAAAGGAAGGAATGGATTAGAAGGTGTGAGGGATCAAGATTTCTGTTTTGAACATGTTGAATTTGAAATGGGCTTTAAGTATTCAGGCAGTGAAGTCATAATCCCATTGTATGGAACAGCAGTTGTTAAAGTATGTTCTGCAGACTTCTGGGAGTCGCTGGAAACTTCTCTAGAGGTCTATGAGATCAAAATTCTTTATAACAAAACTAAGACATGATTTGCCTTTTTCATCACTTTTATCCTTTGCGCTGCAGTGATGATAAAACTGCTGGCACCTCAGAACAATTAAGGCAGTGACACCAAATTGTACTACTAGTCTCTGCATTGCTTACTGCCATACTCTCAAGAGTAAAAAAAAAAAAATTCAGTTAAGAATATGCTTGATGAAGTAGTGAAAATTATTATATTCATTATAGCTGAACCCCTGAGTATACTTTTTAAAAATAGGCTATTGATTTTATTTTACTGTTATTCAAGTTCAGAATTTCTAAAGGGGTTTTCATATCTTATTCAGCTCTAAATTCTTTAACTCTGAAGAAGAGAGTAATGTGAGTGTACTTTTTATTATTTTGTGTGAGGCAATGGGAAGTATACATAAGCACTTCTACATACTGATGCATGCTAGTTATCTCAAGGAAAAGCACTTATGAGATTGTTTCAGTTGTAAGCTGAGCTTATCTTTCTCATAGAACATTATTTTTACTTGAAAGAACAAACAGCTGACAAATTAGGTTATTCACATTTGGACATTTGGCAAGAGATAGAAATAAAAACTAGAAAACCATTTTATGTGCCTAGTGCCTAGAGGAGGGGGGAAGAAAATTATTTTTCACTTCGAATATCATTTTCTTCTAATGTCCTCTAAAGTAGTACAGGTTGAATATCCCAAATTTGAAATGCTCAAAAATTTGAAGCTTTTGGAGTACCTACATGACATTCAAAGGAAATATACATTGGAGCATTTCAGATTTTAGATTTTCAGATTTGGGATGTTCAACTGGTAAGTTTATAACACAAATATTCCAAACTCTGAAAAAATCCAAAATTCAAAACATTTCTGGTTCCAAGCATTTGCATTTCAGGTGAGGAATACTTAGCCTGTATAAAGATTCATCTTAGGTGGGAGGAACAAGGTCACTCACCATTTTTAAGTGTCCATTGCATAAAAATATTATTTGGTATTGTGGAGAGATTGATAAAAAAGAAAGTAGCTTTTAGTGTCAAGAAATGTGTAATCTAGTAGGGAATATAGAATGCACACACAAAACAGAAGAACACAAACAACGGGAACTTAGAAACGCCCAACAACAATTAAACAGTATAGAAATTATAAGCATTAATTATATGGATTATTCTTACTTAATAAGTTATCTGAATTTTTTCCCTTTATCATATAATCAAAAAGCCAACGATACCCAGATATATCAGGTATAGTTGTAACTATTTTAGCTAATGATAAATCCCTGCAGTAAAATACAAATCATGTTTTAGATTTAAATGTTCTTATGAGAACCCAAACACATTTTCATTTATTCAAGACTGTTAATGGCCTTAAGTAATAGAGGTGAGAAATTAACATTTGTGTTAATGAGAAAATTCTGTTTTGGTCATAGACATAAGAAACCAGTCAATTACTCACAGTTTGACAACTCTGACAGTGATGGTAAGTAAAGCTTCTTATTTTTGCTTTAAAGATTTGGAAACTAATTTCCTCAGAATTTATATGACATAGCTCAAATACTGACTGAGCTGCCCAATTGCATATGAGGTAAGTCTGGAAAGATAGTTTTCTAAGCATTTTGGATAATTACTCTCGGTCTATAGTTGTCACATTGAGGTTTGTCTCCTGTCTCATCTCCGAAGAATCTCTATTAATGGAAATATAAAACAAGACCTTGAAGAAAGGTTAGGCTTATGCCTTTTGAACATGAGTCATAGGTTTACTTGACTCTGCTATGATTGGAAAGTTGAGGAACATTGCATTAGATTATGTTATACGTTGAAATGGATTTAATATTTCTTTCTTAGACCAGTAGAGTTTTCTGTAAGTCAAATATTTAGTAAGTCTTTGGTCTGAAGCAGTCTGTTTTTGCCTAGAGCACAGCCTTAACTGTACCTGCCACTTGGGAAAAAAGTATAGAATACAACCTCTAGCTTTTATTATTAGTTTATAAGTATCAGTGTGTCACCAGATACTTATAAACTGCCAGGTGTGTAGTAGGTGGGGGTGGCAGCAGGTGGAGGGAGTCATAAATTATCCTATTTATGGGGAAGCATATGAGACAACAAGTATTAATGCTTGCTAAGCATGTGATTAAGACTACATAGACCCTGAAGGTATGTATGTATGTGTTGTGTACGTGTTGAAAAGCCGCAGCAGTTTTTTGTTGACAGTCAAGAGAAGAGCTACAACAGTTCTGAGGACTGGTAGGACAGAAAAACCTGTGAGAAACAGTAATGGACTGGAAACGAACGTTCTTTTGCCAGAAAATAAGAAGTTACTGTGGTAGGGACATAGGAAGATTGTTATGGTAATGGAAAGGCGAAATACTACTATTGCAAAAATCCTCAAATAGGAGCTATTTTCTCTTCCCCCATGTTGCTTCTTATTTTCTCTAGCATGGTTAATATACCAGAAATAGGTAATGGACATTTTCTTTTTTTCTGTTTTTGAGACAGTCTCACTCTTGCTGCCCAGGCTGGAGAGCAATGGTGCAATCTCGGCTCAATGCAACCTCCACCTCCCAGGTTCAGGTGATTCCCCCGCCTCAGCCTCCTGAGTAGCTGGGATTACAGGCATCCGCCACCATGCATGGCTAATTTTTGTGTTTTTTAGTAGAGACAGGGTTTCACCATGTTGGCCAGGCTGGTCTTGTACTCTTGACCTCAAGTGATCCACCCACCTCAGCCTCCCAAAGTGCTGGGATTACAAGCGTGATGGTCTTTGAAAGAAGATATTTGTTTACATTGTGAAGTTCCCATAAAAAATAAGTTATTTCCATTTTTCAATGTGATTAAATTCTATAATTTTTCTAATGGCTTTACAGGTTTTTAATCATTTTTTCTTTGACATTTCTATGCTGTCTTAATTACTTTTGCAGTTTTTAGTGAATTGGTTTTTGACAGACTGATATTTTAAAATATAAAGGCCACCAAAACAAAGAAAAGTCAAAATAGATGAATAAGAATAAAGTTAAACAAAATGCTAACAATGATTTTTAAATTGTGGAAATTAAACAATTTGCCTAGCCTATAAAAACTTGAACACCAGTGTAATTAATTTCATTTACTAAGAAAATAATCTTTTTCTTTTGATT